GCGACTATCAGTTAAAATTAAATAATTTCGGTTTGAAAAGCTTGAAATTGGAAATTTTGATAGAATCTTTTCACTCTTCATAATACTTTTGAAATGAAATTGGTGGAAGTTAATTTTTCAACTGATGTTTTTAGCTAACTTAACCTGAAGGGCCTGTCTGAGCCTTTGTACTTACTTGACGTTCGTGTTTTCCGTCGTCGTTCGTTGACTTTTACAAAAATCTTCAACTCGGAAACTTCTTGGTCAAATAAACTAAACTTGTCCACAAAAGATGTGTTGAAGGCCCAAGGCAAAAATATTACATAGAGGTAAAACGCAAGTTTTGTCTTTTTGCAGTTTAGGAGCGGGACGATATAGATAGAAAAAATCTAATTAGGGCAATACGTTATGAGTGTCAAGATCTACATATTGTTAATTTCGACCAAAATTGTCGGATGACTCCTTACAGGATTTATTACCCTTAAATGTCAATTTTCCCTATTTTTTATTTTTTTTCCGATTTATCTTGAAAACTATTCAAAAATAGAGAACTTTACAAAGCAAATATGATCACCAGAACAAAATTTACATACAATTCAACAACGCCGGAATTTTCAGATAACTCGCATAGTTATTGCCCATGAATAATTATTTTTCCCCCATTTTTTTCGGTGAAACTATAGCAGATAGATAAAAATGTAAACAGCAAAAATGGTCAGCTTAAAAAAATCTTCAAAAGGTCAACCTAGGTGAAAATGTCAGCGACTCATTAAGGTAGTTTTGATCCTTTAAATGATGTTTTTACCTAATTTTACGAAACTATAAAAAAGAAAAACCGTAAACAGCAAAAATGATGAGTCAAACATAGTCCAAATTGTCACTTGACTCTGTATAGAAGTTATTGCCCTCAAATGACCATTTTATTCTTTTTTTATGTTTTGAGCAAAAACTATAGAAGATATAGAGAAACTGGAAACATTGAAAATGGTCTTTCAGAAAACATCTTGACATTTGTCAATGAATTATAGGAGTTATTGCCGTAGAATGATGATTTTTACCTATTTTCATTCGAAGCAAAAAAATATAGTAAGTAAACCAAACAAAATGATCAGAAATACATAATCAACAACCATGCGATTTTAGTAATGAATTATATTTTAGTCTTTAATAATGGCATGTGACCATCGTTGAAGATGCATATAGATCCAGGTGATCAACACAGGCCCTTATGAATCTCTAGAAATTTTAAAGGACAGCTTTATATTCGGTTCCAAAAAATACAGAAACTTTGTAGGAATCTAGGTAGATATCTTGCGGAAATTAAAATAACTGTTGGCAGTAATTTGCTGAAACAAATGGCCAGTAAACGAGGTATAGTCATAATTCAAGTATTCTGTTATATAAGGCATAATTCATGTTTGTTTAAGTATTACATTTTTGTTGAATTCAGTTTAACAATTTGTTTTTGAATGAATTAATGACGGGAATAAAGCCTCTCGGTGTAGAAATGAATTAGGTTTTCGTGATTCTGAAAAAATGCCAAATGGCAAAAAAGTAACAGAGTTTTAAAGTCAGGTAATTAATCGAAGTAATCCATACCGCACAATGTATTTCACACAAGTGAACGTTTATATATATATGTTAACAGAAGTAGTAAAGTTTCCATGTGCGTTTACTTTTCATTAGCTACACTTGGTGGGTTTTTTAATTAGTATTCCTTAGGTGTTTTATTGTATAATCTTATGCGCATCAAAATTATGAATTAGATTAATTAAGTAATTTGATGAATAACGTTATGCTTAATATAAAAAATAACTATTAATGGGCTATTGATATTAAAAAAAAGTATATTTGGTAAATCTTTTCAAAGTCATGTAGATAATATCAACGGTACTAAATTTACTTTACAAGATTTGCATTTCGACAATTAATGTCTCTTATGTAATGCTGGAGGTCGAAACGTTTGGAAATCAAAAACCTAATACAAACAGCCGATAAAACCAGAGTTAAACAAATTCCGGACAAGGTATCTAAGCTTTGGATGGGGTCATATTCCTCAATTTCAAATATTTTCAAAATTTCATAATTAAACAAAGATCGTATCAGTTTATCTCTGAATGTAAAAAGTAAAATAACAAAAATACCGAACTCCGAGGAAAATTCTAAACGGAAAGTCCCTAAGAAAATGGCAAAATTAAAACTCAAACACATCAAACGAATGGAAAACAACTGTCATATTCCTGACTTAGTACAGGTATTTTCCTCTGTGGAAAATGGTGGATTAAACCATGTTTTATGGCTAGCTAAACCTCTCACCTGTATGAAAGTCGCATACAATTCCATTATATTATGTAAATAAACTCATCATAGTTACCAGGATTGGAATTTTATATTTACACCAGACGCGCGTTTCGTCTATAAAAGACTCATCAGTGACGCTCGAATAAACAAGTGTTAAAAAGGCCAAAAACGTGTCCCATAAGTGCAGAAATCTCATTTATTATAGTTATTTTTGACAAACAAAATATCAAATATAAAACCAATTTTTTTTATTTTAATATCTTAGAAGAGAAACCACATTAAAAAATAAACCCTGTTTTATTTATCTTGTTTTTACAACTTTATTGTGAAACTATTTTGTTACTTCGCTTTTGAGACAAATTTTTAGCAAGACAATTAGAATTTAATAGTTTACTGCAAAAATAAAGGTTCAATGGTGGGTGCCAAAATCAAGCGTATGCTTTGTCTGACTAATACAACGTTAAATGATGCAACTAAATTTAATCAAAATTAAAAAAAAATAAAAAATCCAACAATTTGAACATTTTTTTTACAATACTTTAATCATTATTTGTACATTATTCAACATACAACATGATGAATGATTCTTTTTACGAGTAACAAATGAAAACTTCAAAAAGTTACACCAAACACATGGATATTGGCAAAAATAGTTAGCTAAACTTTTTAAATAAGAATAAGAATATTTATTGAATCCAATTAAAGGGCCCGTTTCTGAGCATATATATATATATATTCATAAAAAACACAAAAATCGATAAGTAGATAATAAAATATTAGCATCATTGTTCTAACGTTTTCATCCTTCATGGGACTTATCAAGATATGTAACTAAGTAACGTTAACGTTACCACGGGGTAGTGTGACGTTACGTTATTGTTGTGCATAAATTGCGTACTTCCTTTACGCATTTAGCTTTGCTTTGAATGTCTTAAATAAACGTTTCTCTAGAAGAGGATACGGCAGTGAAAGGAGCCAAGGAAGACAAAACGCGAGGTCGGATCAACGATACGAAAGTACAAACTACATAGAAAATGAAGAAATTCCGACTCAGCATTTTTTAGGGAACCGCTTCTACAACCGAGAGCCAAATTTAACAAACAAAGCGATTTAAACAGCGATACAATTGACCCAAAAATTATAAATTTATCTGACAATGAATTGGATAATAACGAAATTACTCTATTATTGAAAGGATTTAAATTTACACCTACACCGAAACCAAATTTAGCCGAATTGCAAACTGATATACAAACATTCAACCGTCAACTACGACTTTGAGAATATTTTGGATCTGATAATAAAGACGAAAAATCCATTGCAAGGAATAAATCTATTTTCATAACTCCGAAAGATAGAGATAAAAATTTAGAACTTTTTATTAACACTATTTCTAAATATCCAATATCAGAACAGAAAACTAGAGAAAATTTATCAATTAAGGAAAAGAAAGGATTGCGAAAATTAAAAGATAATGATTCTATAATAATAAAAGAAGCTGACAAAGGTGGTGCAGTGGTAATTAGAACAAAGAATATTACAAGGATAAAGTACTTCAATAATTAAAGGACACGGAATTTTACAAGGAGGAAAAGAGGAATATGGATAATCGCTTATGAGAAAAATAAAACAGTTGATTAAAAAATATCCTGATTCATTTACCTCAAAGGAAAAAGATAAACTGTGTAACTTTAAAATTCAAGAAAGTAATTTCTATGGATTACCCAAAATACATAAAAGAAAAGAAATACAAAAAGGAGTTCTAGGACAAAACAGAGAATATATCAAAGTGTATAAACCGACTGATGTAAAACTCCACCCAATAGTGGCGGGACCACAATCGTATACTCATAGATTGAGCCATTTCATAGATTTACTACTTAAACCTCTCTGCCCGAAGATTCCGAGTTATGTCGTTGACGATATAGATTTCTTGAATTTTATACCAGGCACTGTACCAAAGGGTACATTTTTAACCACCTTTGACGTTACAAGCTTATGCACAAATATTCCACATGATTTAGGCATTGAAGCAGTCCAACACTGGATCGAAGAAGAAAGAGAATTGATTGATTCACGATTTAAGACAGAATTCATCATCAAAGCTCTTAAAATTATTTTAGAAAAAAATTTCGATGGAAAAATATATCGACAAATAAAGGGAACTACTATGGGCACAAAAGTCGCTTCCTCATATGCCAATCTTGTTATGGGCTATTAAGTTATATAGATACAATGGATAAGCGTGGATTCTTGAAAAAGAAACCATGAGTCCGGAGGGCGAATGGTTTGTTTTTCATGAATCTACGCTTATCCATTGTATCTATGACTTAAACTTTTGTGTTAATTTCTTTTCAAAATTAAAGCCTTTTCCTAATTAGAAGGTATTGTAAGTGAGTTTAAATAACCATGTTATCGTGTCCAACGATGCATTGATAAATCTCAGATCACAATTAATTGGTTAACAAAATACAAATATAACACTTATACCTTTAAAGATCTTTATATTACCAGGCATATGAATATTAGCTGTTTAAACAAAATAAGACATATTCGAAATTATTGCTAATAAAATCGAAAATGGAAATGGGGAATGTGTCAAAGAGACAACAACCCGACCAGAAAGCATATATAAAGTATATATAACAAGTATGTTATCGAAAATTTTCTAGCACTCTAGGCACATCACGATTTTCTCGCATAGGAATTTGTGAACAAACCTTTGTAAAATTATGTAGTAAAACAGATGAAATCATACTATATTTATAAAACAAAAATTGACAAATAGAATGTAATCATTTTTGTTTCAAACATGTGAAATAGCCAATAATAATTAAAAAAAAACCGGTAAAACTCGCTATTATTACAAAAATATCCACTATTACATGCAAAATTAGAAAAAAAACAGGATCATTTAAGAATTGGAACAACAGAGAGAATACAGGGATTCGAACCTAAACCGACAAATCCCTATCTTTAACTCATTGATTTTAACCATGCTAACCTCGCGGCTACCAACTCATACCATACGACTGCCTATTGTGTCTATATAAAGGTACAAGCCCTGTGTGTCCGATGAACCGATGTATATCAGATGTTCATTTAAATATATAAAATAGACATCTATAGTGTAACCCATTGGTAGCCGAGAGGTTTCGTCAATGTGTTGATGTCAGTCACACATAACAGATTTCAAGGAAAGGTTCGATTCCCAGTGAAGGCATATACAAATTACAAAAAATAAAGGTAAGTTTTTAAATTAATTCCATTAGTGAACAGAAATCAGTAAATTAGCCAATTCAAACTTAATGAAATTAGGCACACAAAGGAAACAATTGAATATAATTTGGTGAGTCAATTTCAGCGGCAGATTTAGGAAGCGTTGATTCTAGAAAAAGAATCCACGGTAAATGAATAGGCTGACGTCACCACAATGGTTTAAGAAGAAATAATGTACACCAAAGTAGGTGAAAATTTTGACCAGGATTTTAAGGAATACGTAATCGAAAAATGGAAAAGAATTCTAGACGACTGCTTCATTTTATGGACAAAATCTATGAATGAACTTCTTTTATTCCACCAATTTACAGTGGAAACAAGTGAGTTACCATTCTTATATATCACAAAAGAGATTTTCCGTAATCAAGTTATCACCGACATATTCTATAAAAAGACTGATACTCATCAGTACTTAAATTTCCACTCTTGCCATCTAACACACAAAAAACGGAATATCCCGTTCTGTATGGCCAGACGAATCTTTGCAATAGTCACAGACAAAGATATACGAGAAACTAGGCTAAATGAATTGAAGTCGTACCTACTTCTTCAAAAGTACCCGTTAAGCCTGATCGAGGCTGGTGCAAAAAAGGTAAAGAACTCAGTATAGCTCAACTACGAACGCCGAAACAAAAAACAGAAAAAAATATAATTCCGTTCGTTAACACGCATGATCCTGTCATCACCAATGTGTATAACGCCATAAAAATTAATTTACCTATTTTAATGGAAAGCGAGAAGATGAGGAACATTATACCATCAAACACTATAATAAATAGTAAGAGACAACTAAGAAACTTTAAAAGAATTCTGACAGGAGCAAAATTTCAATCTCAAAATAACAATTTTTCTGTGAAAACATGTAGAGATTCAAGATGTGGAATTTGCAGTAAAGATAATTATAACTGTCTTGAAACGGGTGGATCAAAAACATTTAAAAGTGGACAAATATTTCATGTGAACGCACACATGACTTGCAAATCCAGAAATTTAATTTATTGTATTACATGCCCAACATGTAAAGAAAATTACATTGGACAAACTGGCAAGCTTAGTGCAAGAGTACGTGTGGACCCACAAACAACAAATCCGCCACCCGCACTTACGGCAAATTCCACTAAGTGAACACTTAAGACATATGCGCCAACGGAAAATTTAAAATTTTCCCATTCTACAAATGTCGCCGCGATGATGAGGAATACAGAAAAGTTTTGGAGAAACGCTTTATTAAGACATTCAAAGCAAAGCTAAATGCGGAAAGGAAGTACGCAATTTATGCACAACAATAACGTAACGTCACACTATCCCGTGGTAACGTTACTTAGTTACATATCTTGATAAGTCCCATGAAGGATGAAAACGTTAGAACAATGATGCTAATATTTTATTATCTACTTACCTGATTTTTGTGGGTTTTTTTAAAGAATATACGAATCTGTACACGACTAACATTTTATTAATATATATATATATATATATAAACTATTAATTATACAGTAATATTTAAGATATATTACATTAAAAAAGTTTTGTTGAATTTCGTGCGTATTGTTCTTGTGAGGGGACTATATACGTTATTCTGATATAGAAGCATATAATCGGAGTAAGTGATATTTAGGTGAAATAAAAAACAAAAAATGATAATTAATATTACCTGTTCACTGCAGATGCAGGTCCTTATTGGATTGGCGCGACCAATCACCCAAATAGTGGGCCATGGAGATGGGACAATTCGAATACATTATTAAACATTACAGATTGGGATCAAGGACAGCCCGGAAATAGAAATGAAGATTGTGTGGCGTTACAAAAGGGAAATAGAGAGGTCTGTCGTTGGCATGACTGGTTTTGTTCATCCAGACTTGCGTTTATATGTGAATTTGCATTAACGAATTGAATTGGCATGAAGGATAAGGTTTATGTGTCATTTACATAATAATAGCATGTTTGTTCTTAAACAATTATGAAATTTATTCTGATTCGTCTGATGAATGATTTTTTTTCAGCGATTTTTCTCTTGGAAAAATTTTAATTAATAACATTTACATTCAAAGCCCTATTTTACATCACACGAATCCTCTTTTGTGCGATCTTTGAATTAATATGAAAGCAATTAAAGACAAAAACTGACTTTTGTGAAATATAATTGTAACGGAATACCAAAATTCTTATTATCAACAACCATGAATTAGGCTATCTAAATTTTGAAAAACTTGTTACCTAAATGTTGAAGTTAATTTCATTTATAAGATTTTGTTTGTCTTTTTCTCCTCTTTTATCGGAATCTTATAACATGCAGATTCATAACAAATTACATGCTAATTTGATATTACTGAACTCCCTCATATTTGTTATGTTCACAAAAAATCTACCCGGAACTATGTGTTTAATTATAGCGAAGTGTGTAAAGGTGTTAATATCAGTGACAATACACCTACGTTATGAAATTGCAGTAATTCTGAATATATTTATGGCCCCAGTTCCCATGTTATAACAGGAGACCTTAACATCGTTCTTGACCAAGACTTGAAATCATTCTTTAGTAAAGGACCTAAATATCGGCCCCGTCAATAATTAATTGGAATGAGTGTCGTAACATCATCCATGACTCACTAAGTACTTACTGCTCGAAATGGATAAAACGAGAAACAGCTGAAAAAAAAATCCTTAGATTCTTTTTTTAATTCCGAAAAGAACAAAGTTGATATTCGTATTAAACATTTTACAGAACATTTTACTCCTATCAAAAACCGAAATAACCCTATTTCTCGTATCAAACATACGCTAAAGAACTCGCCAAAGAAATTTGTTTTTAACTCTGCTGATAGGTCTGCTAATGATACCATTATTGTTTGACGTAAATTTTACATTGAGGTTCTGCAAGAGGAAATCACGAATTTACCAACATTCCAACTGACTCCATTTTTGGAAAATGACATCTTAAACAAACATAAACTTTTATCTACCTCTTTACAAGCAGAACTAAATACAATGAAAGTCCTAGCTATGTACTGGCTTCCGAAGCTGCACTAAACAAAAACCTTACAAATACAGATTTATTTCGTTTTCAAGCCATTGTTCCACTACTAAACTGCCTATTCTACTTACTAGTATACTTGGCACAATCAAAAACCTGGTAATAAATTATTCAAAGAAGGCATTTGAAAATAGTGGAATTAATTACTTTTGGAGTACCAATAATTCGTAGGAAGTACTTGATAAATTGCATGCTTATATTGGTGATTTCGAATCTGTTCAAAGTTTTGATTTTTCTACCCAATATACCACTTTGCCTCATAATCTCACTAAGAAAAAATGCACACACCGGATTAAATTGGCATTTAAAATTCAGAATGCGTATATATATATGTTCAAACTCTTTATGTCAAAGGATTTTTTAAGTAACAACAAACAAAGGAACTATGTCAATTGGACCTATTTTGATACGATAACTGCCCTTGAATTTTTCCTAGATAACATTTTTGTTAACATATATTGTCAAGTTATCGGAATTACAATGGGGACCACTAATTGCGGACCTGTTTCTGAATTGTTATGAGTTACAATTTATGACTAAAATCAGCAAAGATCCATCGAAACAACATCTAATACAAAAATTTGATAACATTTTTAGATATTTGGATGATATATTGGCTCTCAATAATGACAACTTCAGTATGTACACTAAAGAGATTTATTCTGCTGAACTGACTTTAAATAAAACTAATACTAACAATGAACACTGCCCTTTCCTGGATCTTGATATCTATATATTTAACGGGAGTGTTAATACCAAAATTGACGATAATAGAGATGATTTTTCATTCCCTTTTGTTAATTATCCATTTTTAGATGGTGACGTTCCCTTGTGGTGTTTATATATCTCAACTTGTTCGATTCGCTCGTGTATGTAACCACGTATTTGATTTTAATGAATGAAAACTCTGTATTACTGAAAAATCATTCCATCAGGGTTTTCGATATCACAAACTAGTTAAAAGATTTACCAAATTTTATCTACAAGCTTAAGGCCATCATTCGTAAATATAAATCAACATGCAGACATCTTATACGTTCGGGTATTTCACATCGAATCTTTTATGGTAATATTCTATACAAATCACAAAAATGTTGGCATTCACCTCAAAAGCTCACAAAACCTTAAACAGACTTATTCAGAAGGGATATATCTCCTATACTGTTATCAGGTCATTAAAGCATATTTTAGTATTGATATTGATTCCCTCATAGGGTCTTTGCATCTGAAATAAACAAATTTATTCTAAAACCAGTTGTTGGCATGATACGGGTTATGTTCTTCTCATATATTTTATGATGGTATGATTGATTGATTGATTGTTGGTGTTTTAACGCCACTTTTGAACGCCACTTTTGTGCTATTTCGTGGCGGTCAGTTTTTATGGGTGGAGGAAGCCGGAGTGCCCGGAGAAAACCACCGACCTTCGATAGGAAAACTGACAATCCTAGTCAATTAAGATTGGAGTCGAGTGCACCCGCACGATATGATGGTATGATACTAAACACCTAACGGGAGGATTGTTCTTGATTTTCATATGATGAAGACATAATCTTTCAATCATTTTAATTGAGATCTGGAGCTGACATGTCAGTAACTGCTAGTAGTCCTTTGTTAAGTTATGCATCATTGTCATTTTGCTTAGTTTCTTTTGTTACCTATTCTGACATCGGACTCGGATTTCTTTTAAACTGAGTATTGCTGTCTTTATTGCTGTGAGTTTGAATATTCTCTATTGACTAGTGGTATAGGGGAAGGTTGAGATCTCAAAAAACATGTTTAATCCCGCCGCATTTTTGCGCCTGTCCCAAGTCAGGAGCCTCTGGCCTTTGTTTGTCTTGTATGTTTTTTAATTTTAGTTCATTTATATATTTTGGAGTTTAGTGTGACGTCGATTTTCACTGAATTAGTATACATTTTGTTTATGGGCCAGCTCAAGCCCGCCTCCGGGTGCGGAATTTTCTCGCTATGTCGAAGACCCATTGGTGGCCTTCGGCTGTTTTCTGCTCTTTGGTCGGGTTGTTGTCTCTTTGACACATTCCCCATTTCCATTCTCAATTATAAATATTCACATTAACAGCAATACATTTTGATTTTTTTTTACATTTAACTATTTCAATTAGAAATCTTTCCAATCTGATAGATATGTTTCAGGACAATTGTAGGTCATTTATGGATATATAGTTTTTTAACTGTACGTAAATAATAGGATAATCTTGTAGCACGTACTCGGACTTTATTTCATGAAAATTATTAAAATTCCTTCTGTAAAAATACAACACATATACAATACAAGTTCATCGCTCCTACAGTTAAAATGAAAGTATTGTATCACTATTCGACAAACACGACCTGCATAACGAAATCATAGTGGAATTTTATTCAATAAAACAAATTGAATGACAACTAAATATTAATGATAAAACTTTACTCGAGTTACTTGTGTACGTTATTTTATTTAACGCCACTTTGTCCCAGGTTATAGTTGTCTTTTTGACATTGTTTTACATATTGTATTTATATTGTGTGAAAGATCAAATTTATTCGTTCAGTGTATGTTTACTCGTTTTGTTAATATTTCTTTTTGATCGAGTTAAGCCATTTCAATTGATATTTTATAGTGTGTCTTTCTATGTTGTAATGTTATACTAATGGTTCAGGTTAGGGAGAAGGTTGGCGCCTGTTAAAACGATTAAACTTAGTCATGAACCTGTTGTTCAGTGGTTGTCGTTTGTTGATATGGTTCATAAGTGTTTCTCGTTTCTCGATTTTTGTTATATAAATTAAATTGTTGATTTTCCTGTTTGAATTGTTTTACACTAGTCATTTTTGGTGGCTCTTTATAGCTTGCTGTTCAGTGTGAGCCAAGGCTCCGTGTTGAAGGCCGAATTTTGACCTATAATGGTTTACTTTTTACAAATTGTGACTTAGATGGAGAGTTGTCTCATTGGCACTCATGCTACATCTTCGTATATCTATTTACTGCTGCTTTTATATCTCCTACATGTTTTGTTCGTGAAATGTTCTTAATATTTTCCCATTTTTGTATCAATTTTCACACCTGGGTGGCTGTAGGCGCGAAACAAACCTGTCCGGATCTCTTATTCGTATCATGAATTTATAAAAACAATGTTTAGAAAAATGTTATTTCTTTTTTTATTCGAAAATTATAAATGTTTCGTCTGTATATTTATCAAATACATTAGAAATACATGACTGATACAGTAAATATTTTATTTCGGTTGACATTTTATTACATTTGTCATTTCGTGTCTTTTATAGCTTGCTACAGATGTATGCGGTATTGGTTTTTGCGCAATGTTGAAGGCCGTACTGTGAACTATAGTTGATAACTTCTGTTAATTATTCGGTCTCGTGTCGAGAGTTGTCTCATTTGCAATTATATATTTTAAATTATAATCCTGGTACCTTTGATAACTATATATACCACATCTTCTTAATATTATATTAATTTATCAGATCGACAAAAACACAATAAATAAAGGCAACAATAGAATACCGCTGTTCAAAAGTCATAAATCGATTAAGAAAAAACAAATCCTGGTTACAAACTAAAACCGAGAAAAACACATCAACTATAAGAGGAAAACAACGGAACTACAGAAACACTGAACTGCAACAAAATCAAACTACAACATACATTGAAATGGACTATTTGATAACAACTGCCATATTCCTGACTTGGTACTGGACATTTTAAGAAAAAATGTGGGTTGAACCTGGTTTTATGGATAGCCAAACCTCCAGGTTATATGGCAATGTTAAAAAAAATAACCGCTAAAATGACAACACTACGTCACAGGAAAACAGTACAAACAAACGCAAAAACACTCAGCACAGAGAAATACATAAATAAATAATATAATGGTACATTACAACATGTAAACCACAAAATAAACAACTAATAAAAAGATATGTGCATGATTTAAAGGAAACAACCACTTGATCTCAATTTGAAAAATAAACATTTTTATAGTCTCGCGAACGAAACATACTTACACCAGATGTACGTATTCATTTTCTATTCACACAAGTAAATTACTAAACGATTTATATTGAAATAAACCACCATTCGTAATACTACCCGGCAAGCATTGCTTAGAAACCAGCCAACTTCAGGTAAAACTTTGTTCACAAACTCCCATAATTCTTTCATGACGTCCCATATTCCATTGAAGAAATTAAACACTAGGTTCTGGACTCCATTCGTAATCAAATTTGCGATCCGTAACAGTAAAATGTAAAGTTCCTGAACAAGTTTGAAAGTGGAAGAAAATAAACTTAATTCCGCATGAAAAAATGTTTCAAAACATTCTACAATTTTCTGAAAACCCTGATTTAGCTGATTCATAAAATTTGTCACATTGATAAAAATTTCTGCAGTTCCGTGTGCTAAGTTTTTCGTTGATTCAAACCCATAACGACAACCGGTGGACACTGGTTGATACATATATCTAATGCCCATGTCTCCATAAACTAAGATAAATGGAATTAAAGCGAAAATAATAACATAGTTGATGGCCGAATCATCGCTCATTCTAAAATGGTACTGATATTGATGACTGTAAGCTGTGTCTGAAAAGAAAATAAGAAAAAAAGTGTTTATTATAGAAGGTGATTCGGTTTATAGAGACCTAAGTCTATTGGTTTATGTTTGTGAAAAGCAACAAGGAAGACAAACTTTTCGTATTGATATGTTCCTTTTTTTCATATATTGCTTTGGAAAATCTAAAAAAATGTTCAGTATTACATACCAATAAGCTCGACTATAAAGAGTTAAATTTGCATCAAAACATGATAACACAACGGAAGTTACTATATGTGATGCGTATTGATTTTTTTTTTCTTGGCAAAAAATGCAAAATAGTGTACATTTAATAATAATGTATTAAAAACATATTAATCCGCACCTAAGTTTTTTTTTATTAAACTTAGTTTGTAGACTTCAGATATTTGAATGTTTTTGTTTATTGAACTTGAACAGCTTCGGCTACGAGAAGTTGATGGTTAAATCAACGTCCTGGTAATCACGCGACTGAAAGTAGGTAGAGAAAAATACTGGTCGGCTCGGGATCAGATTTATGTGTCTGAGTTTTTTACATGCTTTCCTACCGTGTGAACTAGCATGTTAAAAATCAGGCTCAGTAAGTCGGCCTTGTACAAACAAGATGTCATACCAATGAGACAGCGATTGTGCAACAAAAAATACCCAACAGACATCTGAAGGTTACAATTTGGTTTTGTAAAATGGCTAACGCTTAAGTTGCAAGACATTAAAAGGCTGCAAATAAATTCAACAAACAAGACTAAATATATAATATAAAAAAGAAGATATGGTATGATTGCCAATGAGACAACTCTCCACAAGAGACCAAATGACACAGAAATTAACAACTACAGGTCACCGTACGGCCTTCAACAATGAGCAAATCCCATACCACATAGTCATCTATAATAGGCCCCGAAATGACAAATGTAAAACAGTTCAAACGAGAAAACTAACGGCCTAATTTATGTACAAAATAATGAACGAAAAACAAATATGAAACACAACAACAAACTATAAACCATTGAATTAAAGGCTCCTGACTTGGGACAGGCACATACAAAATGTGGCGGGGTTAAACTAATTTAATCGTCCCCCAAACCTGGGACAGTGGTGTAATAGTACACCATAAGAACTGTAAAACAACATAAAAATCAGTTGAAAAAGGCTTAACTCGTCAGATGGATACAAACAGAAAAACATCTAATAAAAACACAGAGTGGATGTGAATGGATACTTATACGAGGGTTGTCCGTAAAGTTTGAGGACAATCTCAATAAAATATTATTTACCCGTCCGAAATAAATAAAACAAGTATATAACCAATTTCCTGATTTACTGATAAAGTGTACAAAATTTTATTTCAGTACCTGCTTAAATAATCGTATTTTCATCAATTTAAAAATCATAAGAAACTCTCACCCGGAGCACCCAAACAAATATTTCCGACGTTCCGACGTTCGACGACGTCAGCATTTTAACTTTTCTCAACGTAGTCTCCTTTCAAAACAACACATTTTTTACATCTTTTTAACCAGTCATCAAATATTTTCTCAAACTGTTCTGTTTTCATTTTTAAGATTATGTTCATTACTTCCTGTCTTAGTTCAGGTAAATCGTCGAACCTTTGTCCACGGAGAAAAGATTTGATATGCGGGAAAATCAATTTTTAGATTAGTTTTTAGAGAAGTGTGGGCCGGTGCATTGTCTTGGTGTAATATCATTTGCTCTATGTTGGCTGCTAAATAAGGGCGTTTCTTTCTCAAAGCTTGAACTAAACTCGCATCAGTACCTGAAAGTACAAAATAAACGGACTTTTAATCGTATTGCATCTAAATTAAAAATAAGATTGATTATTTATTTTTTATTCTTTGATAAACACCTTCTTAAACTGTTTATTCCATTTTATTTAGGTTTTAATTATTAATATAAGATCATTCATTATTTTTAAAAGCAAATATTATGTTAAATAACTTGGAGTAGTATTCAGAATTAACAGTCTGGCCACGGGGTACAGCATGTGTCAGTAACATTCCTTTTCGGTCCATGAAGAGAATGAATTGATTTGGTTACCTTTGCCTTCTTTGGTGGCTGTGAGTTACAGTTTTTCCACTGACTTGACTGTTGTTTAGTTTCCGGATCGTAGTAATGAAACCAGCTTTCGTCGGTTGTAATTATTCTGTCTAGAAATCGTATGCCACCACGAGAAACTTTTTTAATAATTTAAAATTGATTTGACAATTCCACTCTTTTTGTTAAATGTTCTGCTGTAAGAAGTCGCGGTACCCATCTAGCACATACTCGATTCATATTTAAATCATTTGCTAAAATGTGGTGCGCTGTAGTCTTAGAAATGTCACACTTGTCTGCAACTTCGCGAACTGTTAGTCTCCGGTCACTGTTGATAACGTTCAGAACTTCATTTTTTATCGCATCTGATTTCCTGAAAGATGGCCTACCTTCCCGCTCATCGTCTTCCAAATTGTCTCTTCCGTCCCCAAACCTTTTGTGCCACATGAATACCAATGAACGACTAACTTTGCTATGTTTCTCAGACTGTTTTAAGAATTTGTGTGTTTCTGTTGGCGTTTCTCCGATGTCTACACAAAACTTTATAACCGCCCGCTGCTCCACCTTTTCCGTAAATTTCCTTTTTTTCAGTGATGCCGATTCTGGATTCAATGCTTCAAATCGAGATTTCTCCGCCATTTCGAAATGTTGACCATTCAAATTTAGCAGGTGTAACGTCAAGACTATTGTCGACGTCACAATGTAAGTTTCATGTATATTTTGGCGGATTTTGAAACTTAAAATAACAAAAATATGAAAACACCAGCCTGCATGTTATGTGATATTTTCGCGGTGCTCTGGGTCCCTATTGCTTATATTTATATGAAGTAAGTGTTATTATTTCGCATTTAAAATTGGACAAATATTGATATAACCGAACTAGGATATAGTTCAGGATTACAAATATGCAAAAAGAATTTACCTGAAATGCTATTTTTACGCAGACTTTAGATTGTCCACGAACTTTACGGACAACCCTCGTACATCCCCACAACAAAAAAGACACTAAGAATAGATCTGAAAGAACTCGCAGTTACTGACAGCTAGTTCAAAGCCAATAACAACTAATAAAAGCTAGAAGTCATGCATCAAAAACCACCACCAATCATCAATAAATAGAAATCCATAATATATAACAAACCTAACATAATTTAATACGATATGCAAAAGCTTGCATTTCCTATCACTATATTCTTGGTAGAGGGTTGATGCTAACAAGGAAGCTATACAACCAAGAGTTCAAAGTGGGGAATTTGAAATAATCCCTTTTTTACACACGCCATTTCGAGTTGGTTGACCGTTATGGAATATCTGTTTTACAAATGACAACGAATATGTTCCAATTGTTGTAACCAAAATCCCGTCCTCTTTTCCTCGAATGTGACCTACCTAATAAGACTTATCACAAGGGTTTGTATTTACATGAGCAATACGATGGATGCCACATATGGAGCAGAATCTGCTACCCTTCCGGAGCATCTGAGATCACCCCGCTTTTTATTCTGGTGTTCATTGTGCTCAATCTTCAGTTTTCTATGTTGTTTTTTTTGTTCTGCTGTTTGTCTTTTTGTTTATTTGCCATGGAATTGTCAGTTTGGTCTCGACTTATGAGTTTGAATATCCCTTTGGACTACAGAATACAGACGAAAAGCACGTCTGGCGTACAAAATTATCAGCCTGAAATCTTTGACGAGTTTAAGGATCAACAGTTTACTTAGAGCTTAGACAAAGTATCAATAATTGGTGGGATGAAAATTAAATCGTACTAAGGAAATAATAATACGATACAAACAGTGGAACACATTTACAAGAAAAGGGAACAATAATAACTGGCTTCAAAATATACTCCCAAAAAGTAAATATAATTATACTGTCTGGTCTCTTCGGCAAAATCGTCATTAACGGCTGTTTTGCTATGCATCTTTAGTTTTTAACCTGGCTCATCAACTTATACTCCACATCTGCTGTTATTCAGATTGAAAATAATTTTTACGAAGGATTCTTTTATTTATTTAATGTCGTTCTGAGGCAACAGAGAAATTAAAAGCTAGGTGTAAAACTTTTGAGTTTTTATTGATTATTTTAAAAAGTATCCTGCACTTGAGGATTTAATTTCTTTAGCAATATCATCCAATTACAAAGTTGCAAAACAAAAATAAAATTTCTTTCGAAAAGGAATAAGACCTTTTTTATGCCGAAATGACAACTTTAAGTTAAAAACTGTATGAAGATAACTAAATTAAAAAACTGCCTTTTATTTATCTGATGGTCAAAGTCAAATAACTCTGGAATGCCAAATTTGATTCTTTTTTTTTAAATTGAACAGTATGATGACACTTTATTACCTCGTTACTATAAAAATCTATGATTTATAATACAATCATAGACATGAATTAGCTAGCTCTGAGATCAACTTATCTTAATATGCCCCTTTTGGGTTAAAATACCATTGCAAATGTATTATATTTTGGCATAGATTACCAAACAAAGTTTCCCATAATGGTTACTTATACTCACTTAAATTTCGTGAATGTCTCAGTTTTTTATTCAAGCAATGTTTTTTGGTAGAAGGTAGAGATGGGACTATTTGAACGTTAACCACATTTCTTCTACAAATTGGGCATGTGTCGTTTAGTCGATTCCATTCTAGGATACAACTGTTACAATACTCGTGACCACATGGTATACAGCCTGTCTTATTAGTGATAATTTCGAGACATATTACACATGTTGCCATAAATCGCCACTACTGAAGCCTGAAAGAGACATGTTTAGGGAACCTGTTACATCATACTTTAATACACTAAAAATAAAAATAAAAAAACTGATCTTAAAATTTAATAATAAACTGATTGATAACATATATAGTGTTGTTCATTACTCAGCTGAAGATTCTAGTTCAAAAATGTAAACTTTGGTTGTTAAAGTCTGTTGTTAAGAAAAGATTTTAAAATATGATGTACTCGAAGACGTTCATATTAGCACTTGTTTCGAAAACTTATAAGATTGCTTCACTTAAGAATAAATACGAACAACATTAACTAAAAACACGTTTTTGTGACTTATACATGTAACATTAAATAGACAACCACGGATGTTTTCACACAAAACACTGACAACCGTGATTATTTTAGTTTCCATTAAGTAAATTCTCCTTTTTAGAGTTACACAGTACACGTGCTTAATTGTGTGCATTAGTGTAGACACATAATACAATTCTACAGAGGTTGTGTTCACCTCTGTGTCTTCTTTGAAAGACAGCAGTTACTGTCACATACATGTAAACTGCTCAAAGTGGGTTATATCAGCCCAAACACAGATCAATACAAACGTTTCTTGGTTGCTGTCACAAATGAGTTGATCAAAACGATACAACCAATTCAACTAAGTTTTCAATTGATATGAGAAATATTTTCTCCGTTCTCCGAGTCACCTCACGAATTTGACAACTAGGTATGGCTATTGTTGCATGCAACGCATGATATGCTTACACTTCCGGACTTTTGTCATCACTACATGTTTCAGGAGTTCGTATTGATTTAAGCATCTTTCATATAATGCCACATTAAATCTGCCTTATTTTGTTTAAATTCACAATGATATTGTGCAATGTGTCGCTACTTTCTATTTTTTTTAAGTGCGCCCTTTTCATAAATATGGTAAACGTGTGCAGCTAAATAGCAAAATTATGGTGGCATATTTCTACCATTTGTTACATATTTGCATATTGCAGATTCAGCTGCATTTAGTAAAATATGTTTGCAAATACAATTCTTTAGATATTATTAGTAAGTGCTAAGAAAATATCCAACGGTAAAGCAACAAAAGTAAAGACCACAAAAATATTTTCCTATCAAAATTTTAATAAAGTTCCTGTTCAAAATCTTCTGTAGCAGTAATGCACTTAAAACTCAAAATGCTGCATAACATCACAATGAGAATACTTCAAACATACCGTGTTTTTGTTTGTTTTTTTTTTTTGTTGTTTGTTTTTTTGATAGGTGTGCAAAATCATTTGATTTTAACTGGGGAAAAAAGGGATCTTGACCATAACAAGCTATTTCTGTCATTTCTCTAAAAAGAAATCTGCTGAATCGACATGAATGTCAAATGTAAATATCTTTTAATATTCATTAAAACTGGAGATTTTTTTTTTAGGGAAACGGAGAAGTTCGAAAATAGACAATTTAAACAAGTTAACATTGTGAAATTTTTCGCATATGGACAAACATTTCCAGCTGTTATGTGTGTTTCTAGCTACAATAGTTTGCTAGTAGCTCTTTGCAAAAATGTATGACATTTCCGAGTTTCAAAGGGGACCTAAATATTTTTTGTCGATTATATTTATCATTGCATCTACTGGAAAAGAAATTGATGATTACTGAATTCTCTATTCGATAGTTTTTCAAGGAAAAAAAACGCTTTTATAATATTTGTTAATGTGAAAATTTGAACATACTCAAGTTTTCACAATATATCACAATTTTTTTTAACTAAAACTTTGTTTAATAAAAAATAATTTGATTGTCAAAATTTTTCAAGCATTTTTTAAAATTTAGATCCTTGACCTTTTTATTTTAGAGCACAATATTCCATTTATGATTTTCATACATCGCAATGAAATGAATGATTGTATATTTGGGATTTATCAGTTGAAAAGGGGAGACGAAATCATTTTATAGGAGCTAAAGGGTTTACAGCAATACGATAGCAATTATAACGACAAAATCCAACCAAAATCAAAACGGTCTTTAAACAATTAAGTCTAAAGAGACGGTACCGTTCGCCTAGGTATATGTGCATCTTCAACAAAGAAAATTCTCCAACATTATAGACTGGAATAGAATTCATGACAATAATATATTTTTTGTTGATCGTGTAATGCTGGTCTTTTTTTTTCGGTTTACAGTTTCTCTCTTTCTTGTTAAGTATTTGCATAAAAATTGTCATTAAAGGGCAATCACTCTTGTAAATTAAAAATAAGAAGATGTGGTATGATTTCCACTGAGACAACTCTCCAACAGTACGACTTTCAACAATGAGCAAAATCCATACCGCATAGTCAGCTATAAAAGGCCCTGAAATGACAAATGTTAAACAATTCAAACGAGAAAACTAACAGCCTAATTTATGTACAATATAATGAACGAAAAACAAATATGATATACGGCAACAAATGACAACCACTGAAGTATAGGCTCCTGACATGAGACAGGCAAATACAGAATGTGGCGGGGTTAAACTAGTTTGTTGGCGCCAACCCTTCCCCTAACCTGGGACAGTGGTGTTACGGCACAATATAAACAAACTATGCAAAACAATAAACAAAAAAAAACAAAAAGCAAAAACCGACAACCACTCAATAACAGGCTCCTGACTAGGGAGAGGCAGATTTAGAATGCGGCGGAGTTAAACTAGTTTGAAGGCGCCAACCCTCCCCTAACCTGGGACAGTAGTGTTACAGTACAACATAAGAACAAACTATAAAAATCAGTTGAAAAGGGCTTAACTGATCAGATGGATACAAATAGAAATACATCTAACAAAAACACAAGGTGGACGTGGCAACAAAAAGACACTAATGACTACTAACGATTTCGGCAAAATTTGCCTTATGTGTAAACATTGTCTTGCTGATCAACTTTTAGTATTTAAAGTGTCTATATATCTTTTATAAATTTCACGATAATAGGCAAAAACGCAAAGTAAGATGGTCAATATCGTCATTAAAAATTAGAAGTCGACAGACGATTTTGGCCACGTTGACTTATTTGTAGATCTTGTCTTGATGATCATTTTTAAAATATCTATCTATCTATTATTGTTATCAAGATTGTTTATAGTTTTCACGATCATAGACAAGTATGATCGCTACTCTGTTTCAAAATAACAAGCTTTTTAAAAGACTGTTATAAATTGGATAGTATATAAAGAATAGAACTAAAAGAGCAGAAAAAAATTAAGGGTCCGTGACATTTTCAAGATATAAGCCATTAAAAAATTGGCGGGAAATGATTCTCTCTAGATTTTTCTTACAATTAACATTGGCACTTTTTTCTTTCAAAAACTATGAAAAAATAACAAGGATTTAATTTAACGGCTATAAAAATCGTACGACAGTTTTGACGTAAATGGACAGTTGGTAGAAGACATCATAATGAACATGTGTGTCCCTGTCAAATTTTCTCTATTCATAGCGATTTTCATGATAATAGATAAAACTTTCATTTTACCCCTATGTTCTATTTTTAGCCATGTCGTCCATCTTGGTTGACAGCCGAGGTCATCGGACACGTTTTTAAAGTATATACCTTTACAATGATTGTGGCCAAGTTTTGTTATATTTGGCTCAGTAGTTTCAGAGAAGATTTATTAAAATATAACGGACAATGACGACGGTCGACGGACGCCACGTGATGAGAAAAACTCACTTGGGGTGTAGGAAAAATATCTAAGACTATCCAAAATACCCTCATTTTCTAGTGGCAGTCAAAGTTTTCCGCCCTTCATCCAGGTCGACTTACTTTTCAGGACCTACCTATTTTATTGTCTTTCCGTCGTTTTTTTTTCATTTTTTGGCATGGCTGTGTCAATATGTTTTCGGCTTATGATTTTGATTATCCCTTTGATTTCATTCGCCTTTCTTTTATACGTTCTCGTCTTAAATACGATTGATATGTTTTCCACTTGACGGCTAGCAAGAAATAGAGACAGTCTGCCATGCTATATGTAAAGTTCTAAATCTTACAGAGTCTGAAGTAGGGGGTAATGATTTAAAAAATACACCAGACATTTTTTCTATCTTATTACTAGTGTAAATATTTTCCATAACTGCTTCCATATAAACTCATCATAGATACCAATATAAACGATTTGTACGCCAGACGCGGGTTTTGTCTACAAAAGACTCATCAGTGCCGCTCGAAACAAAAAAGTTAAAAAGGCCAAGAAAATAAGAAACATATTTTAAATTATGCACCTTTTTTATTTCCCTGTTCAAGCTAGTGGTCATCCTTTTTGGTAGCTTCACTGTGCATGTTTTTTATGGTGTCTTATGCTTTTACTACATATTGCCTAGATATGCAAAGCGGAAATTAATGCAAACGTTAAACTGATTAATCTCACCACATTCTGTGACTCTATCTTTTTAAGACTACATCGACCATTTGTTATTTGTTGTTGATTTTCGTTCTGTGTCTCCTGTCGGTAGTGTAGTATGTTCTATTGATGAGTTTTTACTGTCCAATATTTTTAGTAATTCCTGTTATATTTGTGAGATATTTTGAAAATATCAGGTTTAAACAAATCCGTTTACTGACAAATAAGTAGGCTTGGTACAGGTAGTTATACATGTGATTATTCATACTTTATAAAGAAATCAATTTGCCTTTGAACAGGGAGGTATACACATGTGTGTTTTCCTACTTGACAGATACAGTACAGGCATTTAATCGTGCTTAAAGAATAAGCATTGGTACAAGAAGTAAACCATTTGCTGATTCATACTTGCTTATGAGTATACCAAATCCCTTTTTATATACCGAATGTTTTTAATAATGTTAATGTTTAATTTATAAACAATGACACCCAGTCAATCAAAATAGTAATTGCGGATAGCATTGCTGTTCATGTCCAAAAAATTAAATGGGTGAGATCCTTACCTATATGCAAACACAGAATTATTCCGGTAGAATAGCTCACAGATGTGTGATTTATCAAATACCATGGTTGCTTTGGACTTCGATTTTTCCTATTTTTTCTGGAAATAGGTACAAAAGATAAACGTAAACGTGAATTTTATGTTTAGTTTATTTATATATCTAAATGTACACAGAAAGTACGAAAAAGGTAGATAATGAATGAACCTTAAACCTTTGTATTAAATATTGTATTTACACACACTGTATTATTTTAATGTATTTTCATTTTTTTAAAATATAAAAATCAATCAAGGCGTGCAACACGTATATCTCACGATAGAAATAGAGAAAAAAGATACAAGAAACATAAAAAATCTACATCTTACGCATGAAGTGCATTATGTCATGATATAACTTATACGTAGGGATTTAGGGAATGCAAGATATCTCTCAATCTAGTAATTAAAAGTAAAATAGCAAAAATACCGAAATCCAAGGAAAATTCATAACGGAAAGTCCTTAATCAAATGGCAAAATCAAAAGCTCAAATACATCAAAATAATGGAAAACAACTGTCATATTCCTAACTTGATACAGGCATTTTGTCATGTATAAAATTGTGGATTGAACCTGATTTTATGGGTAACTAAACCTCCCATGTGTATGACAGTCAAGAGTTTATTAGACATATCTACATACATCACGAACGCAAGATATCAAGTATTGTATAAAACATATTTTAAATTTTTTAGGAATACTATAATGTATAGTAAGCTTTAAAAGCTGTGCGTAGATAAGTTCAACATTCAAAAGAGGCATTGTGGCCAATTTCATCTGACTGTCCTTTTCGAGTATTTCAATCTTTCAATTACTCAACTTAATAGCAACGTAGCTTGGTTTATGTACTCTTAGCATTTCTCAATGTTACATTGTTTTATGAAAATGTTACAGAATTATGATTGCTTCAAATGATTTAGAGCTTGAAATATCGTGAAGACACATGTATGTCTATTGAAGACTGTGTGTTGCCCTCTTGATGTCGTTCGGGTTATAATTTATAGTTGTATTGTTGTCTTATTGACGTTTAACCCACATTTGCTTTTATGCATAAAAAAATGCTAAGTTATTTTTTAAATTATTATGAGAATTTCATTCAAAATATAAATAAAGGGGAGATGTATATGAACACCTTTCGTAGTGATTGCTGTCCTTGTAGACTATTTTGCAATAAATATAGTTCGAATTTTTCTTTTTTTTTTTTATTTATTTATAATTCATTATTTCAGATCAATTGACTGACAATAATGTGATCTTTATATTTTTGTTTATGCTTGCTTCGGGAACGAGTGTCCGTTTTGAAGAGGTATCCAGACACGCTAACGAATGATATTTACGAATTAATCCGGTAACAGTTAGAGCGAAAATACTTAATACAAGAGATATGTGAATTTAGTTTTGAATGGGACGAATAGATTCCGAATAAGTTAAAGACTTCAGGGACAGATATTGAAAGTGCAATTTAACATTTACTATTCCTCGGTATTCTTTAATAATATAATTTCATCAACGGAACTTAGTTATAACAGCACTAATCGGCACACTATTAGTTTATAGTCTTAGTTCAACGCTTAGTTATCCAAAAACTTTCTTGAGTCACATATATATATATATATATAGCAGCATTGTAAGTTGTTTTTTGTTTGTGAGAACATCAAGAAAGATTTCCAGTTTTATAGCATATCGAGTGAAGGAAATAACATATCTGACACGTCCATATGCATGTCGATCTAGTTCTACTGAGATCAACAAGATAGATAGATTTTAGCATAGTGTACTTCGGCAAAAAAGGCGAAAATGGTTGATGGACATGATTAAATGGCAAGAAATACACTTATATTTACAGATTGAATGACATGTCTACAAATATCACAACATAATCACATACAAAGTTATTCTTGTTAGACAAAAAATTATTCATTGGTCTAAAGGCATTTGGTCATATCAAATCTAACGTGATAACTCACATCTCACGAATTCCAGAGTCCTCAACATTTCTGTATCTATAATCAGCAAATCATTCGTTAACTGAACTCACTGTATTGGACGAACAGGAACAATTACTTTGTGTATGTATGAATGAGTGTTACAGTCACTTATGTTAGACATTTTGGATACCAACAACACGACAATTAGCCAAGAAGTTGCTCACCAAATGCGTTATCTGTCTGTTCAAATACATAATGAATCGCCTAGTGTGAATTGGATATTATGTATAGAAACCGAACTTCTAAGAGGCAATGATGAACCTGTGTGTGTAGCATGGATACAGACAAGCATTGGTAACATGGACACATATGGATTTTACAAGTGATTACAACTTCGAGCGACATAACGACATAACGTACGGAAGGACTCAACAGAAACGACAATCGAGTAGTTATAATCGATCACAGTCCCGTAAATTTAGATAGAAGACATAGGATGAAAGTTAAAAAAATAAAATATAATCCAGAGGTAAATCTTAATTAACAGTATTTAAAACATTATTCAAAACATCGATTTATGGAAACCTACATGTTATATAAGTATTTGCTGGATTTGCTTTCTCGCATTCGCGTATTCAAAACATTCATTCAGTCGGATTTTCAATTTCACATTTTGTGGTCAAAAGGCATAAAACTGGAATTTTTCAAATATGTTTCGCAAAAACAAAACAAATTAAAACGAGAGAAGTCGGTGAATCGTAATATGCCTTTATCACAGATATATATGTTAAAAAAATATATGGAATATATGGAAATTGCATTTGACTTTTCATGCGAAAGTCCCTTGGTCATTAAATTTTTTTGACGAATTAAAGTCGCGGTTCGTCATATAGTTCCTAAACGATATTGAAGAAGAAGAGGATCTTGGTTTAGGATAAACGGAGTCCACTTCCTCGAAATTATACCCTTCTTCATCCCTGCAAAGTGAATAGTTGTAAGGTCTTGCTAATGAAAAATATACATAACAAATGTACGAATCTAATCTAGGATAATACAAAACGGGTAATGTTGTAATAAATCAGCATGCGTAATCCAACCATACATGCATGAATTATAAACCAGCCAAGTACTGGAGTTACATTTTTCACAAATTCCCAAAGTACTTTCATAACATCCCATAACCCATAGACCACGTCAACTACTAAATAAACCATGTAAGATATTATCAGTTTTAAACAGTGATATATATCAGCAACGATAAGAGAAAATAATTCATATAGTTGCAGAAGTTCATTATAGATTCCATCTGTTATTAAATTGGCCATCTGTAACATCATAAGGTAAAGTTCATGAATAAATTTTAAAATGGAATAAAACACACTTAACTCCTCATGAAAAAATATTTCAAAACATTCAACCGCGTTTTGTAAACTCTGATTTATTTGTTTCGAAACGGATGTTACATTGAACATCATTCCTGCTTTCTCAAATGTTATGTTTTTCGTTGCTTGCAGTGTATACTGACAACCTTTGGATATCGGGGAATACATGTATCTGATGCCCATATCACTATATACTAAGATAAACGGAACAGCGCATATAATAAAACATATGATGGCCGGATTACTAATTACAGATTCATTGGCATATTGACGTCGGTAAACCATGTCTGAAAAAGATAAAAACATGTGTTTGTGTGTGTATATTTCTATATAAAGAAGTCTAATTCGATAAGATTCGAGGAAAAAAGGTTGTAAAGAACGAAAATATTTCTCGCATTGTCACACAAGATCGCGTCAGATCTTTTTGAAAGCTAATAGTATGATTTAAATGAACACTTTTTTCCATTAATACTCCCTTGCTTGATTGGAACGAAACTAATACCAATGGAAGATGTACGGAAAGAGAAGAAGCCTTAATCTTATGATTTAAGTTAAAAGGTCAAATGTTAACGTTACTGTTACTTATAAAAGAATTAAGTTTCGACATTGTTCCCTTAATATGGTAGCTTGATTGAAGAGAAAATATTTTAGTTCAGGGGCAATAGATGAAAGGTCAAGGTCATTATTACTAACATAGACTATTGTTTTAAGTAAGATTTAGGATATTATTCCACCATAAATCATAACAGAATAATACAGGTGAAAAATTAACAATTATACTACGTATTTATTTGTTCCTCTAAACATATGTATACTAATATTTTGACCCCTTGAAATACAAAGGTTTTTTTTTCTCTGTAAATGTAAAGTTCAGGAAACAACTGTTGGCAGTGACAACGTTTTAGTTGGGTTTTTCTGTCTACCGGTACAGTCGATTGCTTTAGTGTATTAAATGTCCTATAAAGTGCACCAACCGATTTAAAGTCTAGGTGTTAAGTGCTTTTAATAAACCTTCTCGATTCTGTGGCTTTTAGACTTCTTTGAAGAATAAGTCATTTCATTTCAAAGTCACATATATATTTATGCTTTTGATTATCCAGTATAAGTAGACCATTAGTTAATTTTGAATCAGTTCAAACATTTCTTCAAATGTCAAGAGGACTGTTCATGAACAATATTGTTACAGATAGTAATAATAAGTTTATGACAATCCTGGGACAGTTATTGGTCAGTTCTATCACAGATCATTTCTTGACAGTACTTCCCAGGAAATGATTTTGACAGTTTACCCTAAAACAAATTTGGACAATTTTATCCCTAAACTGTTTTTGACAGTTCTACCATAGGATATATCCTGATATTCATATCGATAGAACAGTTTGTGTAAGCTTTATTAATTTATATAATTATTTTATTTATATACAATTATGACCGTTTATATAATAATACTAAGTAGATCTTTTCTTTTGCACATAATCAAATTAAAGTTTAATTTTCCCTTTTCATGATGGGCACCAATGTAGATACGGAATGGACCAATTCTAACCTCTTATTTCAACTGTCAGCACAATCGGTCTAAAAACTGTTCTATCCTAAAACTGGTCTAAGCTAGGGCCGTCAAAACTGTTTTAGGGTAGAATTGTCAATATTGGTTCTAGCGTACACCTGTCATCAGTTTTTGATAGTAAAAAACTCATCTACGACACTAGTCTCATAATTTGGAATCACAGACACACGTTTCGTCTACATAGGACTCATAAGTGGCGCGCGAATCAGAACAGTAAGAAGTTCACATCGAATACGAATGTATGCCAGGATGTGAACAAACCTAAGTATTATGAATAATTTAAAAATTTAAAAACAGTTAATATTCCAAAAATTAACATATGGCCCGAGACCACGAATATATTTCCCTTTAATTAAAGTGTATTTTGTCTTTATTTTTTGGCTTTCCCTGCCTCATTCATTTCTTAGTGTTTATGCAGTGGATATGAAAGAAGAGAGCTGAAATAAATATTTTGGATGTTGTTTTTTAACTGAAGTTTATATGGAAAGAGTGATTAGATCAGGTGCAAAAAGGTAATATTACCAGTTTTCGGAACATCTCTTGACTTGTCCATAGGGGTATAGATGTGCATTGGCTAAATTTGTAAGACGTAGGAGTGCAATTTTTCTGAAAGTTGTGTCGCAGGAAAAAAGGGACACCAAATCTATCGCCAACTGGGTGAAGATATAATAGTCACCAAACCAAAAGAATAAATAGGAGTGGTTTTAATTATAGGCCATTTTCTGCATAATAAACGAGTCATCCAAATAATAACTTAATCATAAGTATCTGTAAATACACATTTGTAAACATAATTTACAATGTGTTCCGATAAATATGAAATATGCATAACTGAAATATTCACATACAACGGAGGTATTATCTGACATTTACTGATATACCAAAATGCAGCCTTCAAGCCAAACTGAATACTTTATTTGAAATACTAAAATATCTTTGCTTTAATTGAAACATTCAAACATGACCAAAAGAATGAAAAAAAGTACAAGTACCTGTAGCGGCGACTCTCATCATCCGCCCTTCCTGATATATAATGACCGGTGACTAACTTCGAAAAGTGCATATTAGTATATAAATATGGTTAGTATTGCCGCGCTTTGAGTTCATGCATAGCTCATGCCATTTGACTATAAATATATATCATTTAAATATTTATATAGTATCGCATTCTCTTTCTATAGTATTAATTTAAATATACTTGTGCCGTGATTTAAATATTCAGTACTTATAGCCAAAAATAGCTTACAAAGCTATAGTCTGTTCTAAATACGCAGCGCAAAACTATTTGCCGTCAATTGTCAAGTGGAATATGAATATCAAATATGAATATGATATGAATGTGAAACATATAACACTGAAAACACAAATAACATAAATGTCTAAAAATGGAGCAAAATATATTGAATACATATATCCAGTGACAGTTGGATATATTTTTGGACTTAAACTGTACATTACACACACAAAAGATTTGACAAAAAAAGCAGGTGCAATTGTTTTAACGAGACAAAACGTTATAAAGAACTAATAGAGGAAATTAATTGTGGTCTGTGGCCATATCACTTATATTTCATGTCAACGCACTTGTGCTGACTACTGGGCTGATGATACCCTCATCAACTAAACGTCCACCAAATGTGTCATCGACACAGTACTGTCCAAATTTGTTATACGGTAAATCTTTCTCAATTTAAAGCAGTTCTGATCCAGATTTAGAACAATTTTGATGTATGTGATAGTCATGAGCACTTAACTGGCACAGGATTAAAAAGTAATATTTTTAAAGTGATTTATAATCAATAATATACTGGTTTGGCGCCAATAAACTAGTTTAACCCCGCCACATTCTGTGTGTGCCTGTTCCAAGTCAGGAGCCTGCATTTCAGTGGTTGTTGATTGTTGTTATCATATCATATTTGTAATTTTTGTCATTGTTTTGTACATTAATCATGCCGTTAGTTTCCACGTTTGATTGTTTTACATTAGTCATTTCGCCGCCTTTTAATACCTGATTATGTGATATTGGTTTTGCTCATTGTTGAAGGCCGTACGGTGACCAATGGTTGTAAACTTCTATGTCATTTGATATCTTTCGCAATCATACCACATATTTGTATTTTTAAATTAAGTAGTTTTCCATAATTCTGATCAAAACAATGCTTATATTTTCTTTGGAAAGACAATTGTACAGTTTTATAAGCATTTATTAATGTCTTTAAGAGTTACACAGGATATTACCCTATCATTTTCTCACGGAATGTTTTTATATCTGAGTTTATCTGATTAAACATTGGGACATAATACAATGTTATGAAATGGTACATATTTGATGTAAATTTTGGTATAAGCTAATGAAAAATTAAACGCTATTAAGAAAACTGAATAAACAGATAAGTAAATAGTTAGAACTGTCCAAAACTGCTTTATAATAGTAGAATTGTCAGAATTTGTCTATGTTAAATCTGTCCAAAAGTGTTCTAGGCTATAACTGTCAAAAAGTATTTTTTGGGGTAAGACAGATCTAGAGAACAGTTCTCATTACAGTTCCTGACAGATTTAAATAGAGGTTATAGCCAACTGTATGAAGATGTTATGGAACACAAGACAAATCAACATTGAGGGCAAAAGTAAAGGTACTTCTTCTCGGACAAAATATAGTGCTTTTGATGTTGTTTTCTAAAACTACCAAATTGAATATATAGCTGCATAAATGCTACTTTTGCTGAATGAGAAACATATTTAAACCAATTTGAGCACAAGAATACTTGTCCGCTAACTTGTACATGTTGTATTTTAATTTTAGGGTAAATGTGCTTCATTGTATGTTTATTTAAGCTTTCAGAAAACTAGGGTTATTGTAGTACAGGGAGACTTTCGGAAAGTCATGTGTCAATTTAAGATTTGAAACATTGATTGAAAATTGGTATAAAAAAGGTGATGCATTTACATAAAAAGGATATGCCTGGTTTTCATTATGTTAAACCGAAGGTAAAACATTTAGAGAGCTGTGTAGAGAAATACAGTGGTTTAATATATACACTGTACGAGTAGTACGACATCTTACCGTACATCTTTGTCAGTTTTATATCATAAATTTCTTGCTAATAAAACTGCACATATACTGAAAGCAAACAATCATCGTTGACAAGACGAAAGTGTCCAATACGTAAAGTTACATTAAATGTTTAGAAATCAAACGTTTAAACGACACCGTTTGTAACTCCTCTTGATTTGAGATGCGTACACGGGTCGTTAAAGTTATTTTGCATATACGACTTAAACTGTACAATACACACACAAAAGATTTGACAAAAAAAGCAGGTGCAATTTTTTTAACGAGACAAAACGTTATAAAGAACTAATAGAGGAAAATTAATTGTGGTCTGTGGCCATATCACTTATAGTTCATGTCAACACACTTGTGCTGACTACTAGGCTGATGATACCCTCATCAACTAAACGTCCACCAAATGTGTCATCGACACAGTACTGTCCAAATCTGTTATACGGTAAATCTTTCTCAATTTAAAGCAGTTCTGATCCAGATTTAGAACAATTTTGATGTATGTGATAGTCATGAGCACTTAACTGGCACAGGATTAAAAAGTAAAAATAAAAACAGTCTGGAGAGAGGATTTTGTTATTCTTTCATAATTTTAAAGTGATTTATAATCAATAATATACTGGTTTGGCGCCAATAAACTAGTTTAACCCCGCCACATTCTGTGTGTGCCTGTTCCAAGTCAGGAGCCTGCATTTCAGTGGTTGTTGATTGTTGTTATCATATCATATTTGTAATTTTTGTCATTGTTTTGTACATTAATCATGCCGTTAGTTTCCACGTTTGATTGTTTTACATTAGTCATTTCGCCGCCTTTTAATACCTGATTATGTGATATTGGTTTTGCTCATTGTTGAAGGCCGTACGGTGACCAATGGTTGTAAACTTCTATGTCATTTGATATCTTTCGCAATCATACCACATATTTTTATTTTTAAATTAAGTAGTTTTCCATAATTTTTATCAAAACAATGATTATATTTTCTTTGGAAAGACAATTGTACAGTTTTATAAGCATTTATTAATGTATTTAAGAGTTACACAGGATATTACCCTATCATTTTCTCACGGAATGTTTTTATATCTGAGTTTATCTGATTAAACATTGGGACATAATACCATGTTATGAAATGGTACATATTTGATGTAAATTTTGGTATAAGCTAATGAAAAATTAAACGCTATTAAGAAAACTGAATAAACAGATAAGTAAATAGTTAGAACTGTCCAAAACTGCTTTATAATAGTAGAATTGTCAGAATTTGTCTATGTTAAATCTGTCCAAAAGTGTTCTAGGCTATAACTGTCAAAAAGTATTTTTTGGGGTAAGACAGATCTAGAACAGTTCTCATTACAGTTCCTGACAGATTTAAATAGAGGTTATAGCCAACTGTATGAAGATGTTATGGAACACAAGACAAATCAACATTGAGGGCAAAAGTAAAGGTACTTCTTCTCGGACAAAATATAGTGCTTTTGATGTTGTTTTCTAAAACTACCAAATTGAATATATAGCTGCATAAATGCTACTTTTGCTGAATGAGAAATATATTTAAACCAATTTGAGCACAAGAATACTTGTCCGCTAACTTGTACATGTTGTATTATAATTTAAGGGTAAATGTGCTTCATTGTATGTTTATTTAAGCTTTCAGAAAACTAGGGTTATTGTAGTACAGGGAGACTTTCGGAAAGTCATGTGTCAATTTAAGATTTGAAACATTGATTGAAAATTGGTATAAAAAAGGTGATGCATTTACATAAAAAGGATATGCCTGGTTTTCATTATGTTAAACCGAAGGTAAAACATTTAGAGAGCTGTGTAGAGAAATACAGTGGTTTAATATATACACTGTACGAGTAGTACGACATCTTACCGTACATCTTTGTCAGTTTTATATCATAAATTTCTTGCTAATAAAACTGCACATATACTGAAAGCAAACAATCATCGTTGACAAGACGAAAGTGTCCAATACGTTAAGTTACATTAAATGTTTAGAAATCAAACGTTGGAACGACACCGTTTGTAACTCCTCTTGATTTGAGATGCGTACACGGGTCGTTAAAGTTATTTTGCATATACGACATATATTGTTTTTCATTGAGATAGTCTAAATAAAGTTTATATCGTTAAAAAAAGATGTTACATCTTGAGTACTCTATTGTACGGCAACGATGCAAATCAAGATTTCAGGAGACAAAATAAACATCTAGAACGGTTATCTAGGACTGTTTTGATAAACATTTGCCCTACAGGGAAAATCCTGTTAACTGCCTTTTATCCTCCAGAACTGGAAATTAAAGAAACAAAAGACACGGCTTCCTCTGCCTCATTTTTAGACTTATACCTCGAATTTGACATGAGCGGTCATCTCAGTACCAGAATCTATGACAAACGAGACGATTTTAATTTTGAAATTATCAATTTCCCCACCTTAGTAGCAATATACCAACTTCACCTGTATATGGGATATACATTTCCATACTCATGCGGTATTCAAGAGCTTGTAGCTGCTACTCAGACTTTGTAAAACGTCACAATTGTCTGAGCAGAAATTTGATGAACCAGGGGTATGTCAAAGAACGTCTCGTCCTTTTTCTAAAAAAAAGTTCATCGGTAGATACCAAGACATTGTTGATAAATATTCCGCATCAACTTCACAAATAATACACGATGGTCTTGAAGTATAGATTCTGGGTACTGACGTTGTTTATCATCTTAATAACGTGTTAAGTATTCTTTAATTTGTCTTTGTAAATAATTACTTTTACTGTTTAGTCTATTTTTTTTTCTTTGTTGACATATTTGTTTGTTTGTATAGTGATTAAGAGTATAACACAATGTTGACTGCTGTACCCCTATTCATGACATTTTTACCTATTATATCTGTTTGTTTTGTTCACACATTGTTGTCAATATAATTGAATTTTATGCGACTGTCATACAAGTGAGAAGTTTAGCTAGCTATAAAACCAGGTTTAATCCACCATTTTCTACATAAGAAAATGCCTGTACCAAGTCAGGAATACGACAGTTGTTATCCATTTGTTTGATGTGTTTGATGTGTTTGATCTTTTGATTTTGCCATTTACTTTACTTTCCGTTTAAAATTTTCCTCGGAGTTCGGTATTTTTAGTTATTTTACTTTTTGCTTTCTCAACAATTAGAACTGTTCTTCATTACGACCAGAGATTTGCTGTAATGTGTGTCATGTAGAAATTTTCTTTCCCTGGGGTTAATCTCTGCCCAGTAGCCGTTACATAATTTTATTGATTTATTTTGGCTGTAAAATCCAGTTCATAAAATTGCTTTTGCAATAAACGTGAGCCTGCAACTCCTCAGCCGTATTTGACAATGAGTTTTGTTTTTCTGGTTTATATGCTCTCAAATGCATTTCAACAAACCTAAAGAAAGTTATTCGAGAAAACATCAGTTATTTAAGTTTTATTAAAAGAATTACCGGCTTACGACTAACAAATATCGCTTATCGGCTTACAAGGGTATACATAGTTTTTTTTATCAAATAAAAAATCATTTAGCCGCGTAAAAAATGTCCGGTACAGGATTTAGTTACTACAAACCGCCATCGCAACTGGTGCATCGAAGTTTATTTAGTTACTCGTGCATCTAAGAGACTCGACAGCTCGATGTTCCCTTTAATAAGAAATGCTCTCTGATTTATTCCAGAAACAACTATTGTGCCCCTGAAATCGGTTTATTTATTTTTCATTATTGTTGATTTATAAGATTTATCATTCGATGAATTTAAAGAGAAACATTGGTCCTAGTATAATAACACAACATTTGTTGTTTGTTCAAACCCGTATAAAGACTCCTCGTACTGTCTTGACGTTGCGCACGTGGTTGGTCATGGTCCAATTTCCATTTTGCTACAGATCATAATGAAAAACAACGCATCGACTGGTGAGCTCGATAAAAAAATATACAAATGAAGTTGTGAAGGATGTGTATTGTTTTATATATTCAAACTGTCTTTTAGTTCTTATCTGATACATTTGTACTTCGAAGTAATACATTATCTCACAAAATACACACAGGAATAAAAAATCTAAAGGAATGAAATAAGAAGGAGTGACGTGCTTTCTTATAATAGCATATTCTAACACTATTATCGGTGCTTATATACTTCAGTGTACAATCAAAGCGCTGAATCAGTTAAAGCTTAATTGTTCTAAGTGTTTCTTGTTGTTAAAATAATATTATCCATCTTTATATTACGGTACTGATTACCCAACACTCTCTCAAGTTCCTGTAAATCAAGTATCGGCATTGGTAAACATACCACACCTCATTTTGGTTAAATATTGCATGAAATGCAATCATACTCCTTGCATTATGTGTCACTGACTTGATAACTATATCTTCCTAGCCACGTCTCTCCTTTGGGATTTAAACAACATAGTGCAGTTAGAACATACTTAAAATCATGTTAACCTTGTCAATCTAAGCTGTTTTATTACTTGTAATTATGTATACTCAGATATTCAAGTTGAAAAATTATATGCATGTATTTAACCATACTTGTCTTGGAAACTATTTTGCTAAAAATTACACAAGTTGTGCATACCATATGAATGTTACTGGTCAGGGTCAACTACAATTACAGACGAAGGGAAATAACTCTAATCAAACTATGTCCTAAATGTGTGATGTTGCAATTCAATTTAGAATTTTCTAAAAGTAAATTTACAGTGTTTCCTATCATGCGATTGATAATATACTTACTTAAAGTTCGAAAAGTTCGTCTTAACACATTATATATACTGACAGAAAATAAAAGTGAGATCACATGAGTTCTACAATGTGGACATGTGTTGTTTTGTAGATTCCATTCTATGATACAACTATAACAAAACTTGTGACCACATGGTTTACAGACAGTTTCATCGGTGATAACGTCTTGACATATTACACATATTTCCATAAATCGCTGTTGATGAAGCCTGAAAGAAATATATCTTAATAAGGTAGAATTGTAAGAAATACTTCGAATTAAATTAAGTTTAATACGATTGATAACATAATGAAATTATACAAAGTGATCAATTTTTTTTTTAACTTTATATATTACGTCATCTTCTATTTTATACTAAACCGTCCACTTTAAAATATTTACGTTTGCCAGAACAGTAAGCTGTACATGTTCAGAAGAAGAGATTACAACATGTGACGTACCAGAAGACCTGCATCGTTCCATTAGTTTCAGAATGATAAATTATAAGATCGCTCAAATAAAGAATCGTGAAAGACTACAACATACACAGAGAGCAAAACACTTTTGAACACAAAGCACGAATAAACCTAATGTTTTAGTTTCTGTTCAACTGTTTGTGCGCGCCTACAACTGGTTTATCCACACAACATTCATTTGTCTGTACCATGCCAAGTCACCTGAACAATGACAAGTTATCTGAACCATTTGTTGTATATCCTTGTGTGAACGTCTCGGAACAGACGGTTGTTTGGTGGAAGGTGTAGTCTGTTGCACTGTGCAATTTTTTGGGTAATGCCTGTTATCTGTGTAGGTGGTCTTTAAAGTTGATTTAAGATTCAAATAGACACCCGTTGACACAAAATTCAGGTCTCAAGACAGGCATTTAAACATCTGTTCATGATTTACAAAATCCTCTCATTTCTTATGAACTCGGAATGTTTAATGCAATGTCTGATGAGTAACCAAGGATATACCAAAGCACACAAATAAAACTAGCAGTTTTAGTCTTCAGAATTTGTATTTGTGCTGTCTCGTTGACACACACCCACATCTCCTCGCATTCATATATAATTAAAAGTCAAACCATTAATATCGTGCTATACGGTTATGCGACTTCTTTTCCAAATTTCTGTACTCTTTGTCGCTCGCAAATTTCGAATTAACACTAACACATTGAATATGGTATTATTATTACTTTTTAAACAATAACAAATATATTCATGCTATTGGAAACGCCATAAAAAATTCAAATTGTCCCAAGTCTCGAAAAGTAAAAATGGATCCCTTACCTATATAATAGCACGGAATTAGTCCTATAGAATAGCTTATCGACATGTGTTTCTTCAAAATACACTTGTTATTTCGGACTTTGATCTTTTTGCTATATTTTCTGGAAATGGTATGACACTATGAGGATAAACTTCAAAGGAAATATTATGTTTAGTTTATTAAAGTGCATACCTGTCTATACATGCATGCATTGAAGAACATACAATATCCTATTCAATTGAACTATTGAATAAACCTAACTTGTGTATTAAATATTGTACTTACACAAAATGTATATATTTAATCAACGCGTGTGACGCATATATTACATGTTAAAAGAAAAACACACAAGTGACACAACAATCTATAGGATCGGAGGAAGTGAATCATAATATAACTTAAACGCTAGGGAAGGACAGTTGTCTCTCTTGCGATACAGAAATCGGGTAATACAGTCATGAAATAACGTTAATAATGGAAGCCAATTTCTTTTGAACTTATTTTGCTCTAGGACCATGTTCAATTAGTCTTTCAATCTTTTAAAATAAAATTTTCGTAGGAAGGAAAGAATACGTTCCATAGGACTCGTTCAGAGAACAATTTGAAAACTTGAAATGTTTGTGCTGGAATGTTCATGGACTAAACTCAATCTATAATGACATTGACTTTTTGAATTTAGTAAATAGCTATGATGTTCTTTGTATTTGTCGACGGTATGCTTTTCCTACATTCCACATCAAAAAACTTAGTATTATCAGATTTGTGACAACCAATTTCATGAAACTATTGAAAAAATTGTTTTTGAATATATTGAGAGGGGATCAGTATATGTATGTGGGGATTAGGTGAACTTGATGATGTTTTATGCGATGATAATTAAGACATATATGTCGACAGCGTTCAGCGCGTCGAAAACCTCAATATTCTTGATAGAAGTTCCATGGACACATCTATAAACTCATTGGTAACTTCAATGTGCTACAATTTAATGATTTCTCTGATCATTCTCCATCAATTCAACTTGATTTCTCAAATATTCGTCCACAGAACAAATATTCAAAAGTACACACGTATATAAAATGGAATTCTTATAAAAATAAAGATTACATCGAGGTTTTACGAACACAACGTAGTGCGTTGTTCTTATTGGTAGATAGCATTTCTTCAAACGACGACGACGAATACAGCTGTAGGGGAGATCAGGCGTATATTATATGACGGGCCTTTAAAAAATTGAATAGGCAATCGTATGTCGATGCTAAAAACCAATTCAACAGGATAAAACGTGCCTAAGTAAACTATAAACACCGAAAGAGCATTGAACTTTGTGACATTGCAAAAACTGACACAAGAACATTTTGGTCGACTGTAAGGCCTACGAGTAGAATACGATGCACAGATGAAAATGAAATGATTTTAGAACAGTTCGAAATAATTCTTGGCGAAAATCCACCCGATCTTTGTGAACAAGTATTGAACTTGATGAATGATGAACATTTTGAAACTATTGGCATAGATATTTTACACTCTGAAATGAATGAAGATGAAAATGTGAAATCGATAACAAAATTAAAATTAGGCAAAAGTGCGGGCAATTAAAAAATAATCAGCGAAAATAGTTTGCAAGTCCAACATTTTTGCTCCATTTTTAAAGAAACTATTCAAATATACTTTGAAAGTGGAATTTTTCCTGATACCTCAGCAGATGGTATTGTTATTGCTGTTGCCAAGAGTGGAGATTTGACCGAACCAAATAACTATCTAGAGTGTTCACATCTATCCTGACGACTCGATTGCTTGTATGGTCCGAAGACGGAGATAAACTTATCGACAATCAATTTGGTTTCCGTCACGAACGTTCAACTATTGATGCTATGTTTGTTCCTCGTGGTATACTTGTACATATTCTTCAATAAAAGATGAAACTATACTGCACTTTCGTTGACTTTCGAAAAGCATTGGATAAAAACAGGAGAATTGTGATAAATGGAGTCAGAGGTAAATTTGTGGCCATTATTAAATCTATTGATGCTTCTATGCGTCTCCACGTTAGATCTGGTGGACTTCTATCAAATGCGTTTGACAACTTGTAAGGAGTAAAACCAGGCGAACGTTTATCTCCTATATTATTCCTTTTTTTTTTTACATAAGGATATTATTGAAGAGATAACTGTTACAAATAATCAAGATGTAGTGAATCCGAATGAACTTTTAATCTATTTGATACTTTTTGCAGACGATACTGTCTTGTTTGCCAAGTCTCCCGAGCTTCTTTAACAGTTACTTATCTATCCAAATAGTGTACAAAATGGAACATAGAAGTTAACCCTAATAAAACTAAAGCTGTTGGTTTCAGAAATGGATTGCCAACTGTAAGTAATCGATTTATATATACAAATCATGAACTTCAAACTGTTAATGCTTACGTTTACCATGCTATACTTTAATGGGAAATTCTTACACACACACAAACGACTGTTTCAACAAGGATCCAGAGCTCTCTCATCACTCTTAAACTGTTTGAAAACTATCTACATTATTACAAATCAACAGTGTCTTCTTTACGACAGTATGGCTGGATCGGTACTGAACTATTCTTCAGAAATATGGGGTTTTCACCGCGCCAACGACATAGAGAACCGTTTATGTAGGTTTGTTAAAAAAGTAGGTAAACGTCCTCCTGTTAGTTCTCTTTGTGGCGAGCTTGTTCATTTATGTTTTAAGAATACAATTAATTTTAGAATATTGGTTACGTAGTGTTATATATAAATCAGCTTTTATATATGATGTATATAAAATTTTATATGACATGCAAATCAAGGTAAAATGAATTGGCATATTATGTGCGTGATATGTTATTTAGTTTTGGAATGAACTATATTTGGCTTGACCAGAATAATATTGATATATTGTTTGATGTTATAAAGACATACATAAAAGACCTATATCTGCAAAAATGGTCAGCAGATATATATGATTATAAGAAATTAAAGTGTATATAGAAATGTAAATTAATCCCTGTAACTATCTGAAGAATACATGGAAAGCAAGATCTGATATTATTTGTTATTTGTTATTTATTTTATTATTATATTGTATCTGCTATCAGTCTTTTGTCATATTATGTATATATTATGTATTACCATAGCATGTAATTTATGCTCTTGCAAATACATATTCATTCATTTATTCCTTTACTAAAATTAACGGCAACGCAAATTCATTTAATTATTTTGAGCCTTTCACAACATTGTGTTGAATTTATGAACATGCAACTAATTAATAAATCTTTAAAGTCGATTAAAGGCATGGCATGTTGTTTAGACGTCTGTCTATTGTTGAAGGCTGTATTTGCGCTCCATGAGTCTTTTAGATATTTTTTCGTTTGGGTTGTGGTCTGATTGACATCCACCGTAAATCTCCTTTTTTATATCAAAAATACAATATTGAAAACTTTTGACACAAGTTAGGAATATTTCATTCAAAAAGGAATAAAATGGAGATATCGAGCCCAATTAACTAAACACGAAGTGTTTAAACCATTAGGCACACCTATCAAAAACAAACTCACCATAAATACCAGGATTGAAATTTTGTATTTGCGCCAGACGCGCGTTTCATCTACAAAAGACTCATCAGTGACGCTCGAATAAAAAAAAAGTTAAAAAGGCAAAATAAAGTACGAAGTGGAAGATCATTGAGGACCAAAAAAAAGTTTTGCCAAATACAGCAATGGTAATCTATTTCTGAGGTAGAAAAGCCTTAGTATTTCAAAAATTCAAAGTTTTGTAAACAGTTAATTTATAATTATGACCATATCAATGATAATTCATGTCAACACAGAAGTGCTGACTTCTGGGCTGGTGATACCCTCGGGGAATAAAAACTCCACCAGCAGTGGCATCGACCCAGTGGTTGTAAATAAACTCATCATAGATACTAGGATTAAAATTTTGTATTTGCGCCAGACGCGCGTTTCGTCTACAAAAAGACTCATCAGTGACGCTCGAATCAAAAAAAGTTAAAAAGGCCAAATAAAGTACGAAGTTGAAGATCAAAGGGGTTGCTTCCCTTGAAGCACTACAAAAGTCTAAAAGTCTGAAAAGACCAGTTTTTGTCTTAATTTGCATGAACTTTTACTCGACATTCTCCAAAAGTATGACTTGTGTCTTAATTTTTCTTGACAAATTCTCATTTATATTAAATTTGTATGAAATTTACTCGACATATTCTCGACATTCTGAATATGGTCTTAAAATTTCTTGACAAATTCTTGACATTTGAATACTGTCTTGAAATTTCTCGACATATTCTCGACATTCTTATTTTTTCTCAGTATGGCTTGACATATTCTGAACATTTTGAATCGTGTCTTAAATTTACTTGACAGTTCTGAGTTTTACAAATCATTACCAATATTCATGATATAACTTTAATCTTTATTTCTCTTTATATGATATACTGTTGTTTCAAGTTACACTTCTTTACAACAAAAATAAAAGTTGGGCATGTAAAATAATTGAAAATTTGGGTATATAAATATTTTTAAAATGCAAATATGGCTATGAAATCTAAAGTATAAAAAAATTCAAATGTGGGTGTGTTGATAGAAAACAATTTCAATGTGGGTTTTTAAATAATTACAAATTTTGATTCCTAAATCTTATAAATTAAATGATTCAAACCAATCATACTGTAGACATATTTCATTCTACATTCATAATATTCAATGTTGATATGGTAAATAATTATTATACCAAAATGTGGTTTTTATATAAATAGCAAATTATGATGATATACAAATCATTCAATTTAACAGAAGAAAAATTTGTGTAATGTCATCTGTTGGAATACTATTATTAAGTATTACACATGGACAGGATGTTCCCCATAAAATTAAGGTATTCCACACCCCAGAGTACACGCAACTGTCAAATAGAAGTTATTGCTTTACCTGTAATCAGCCATACAACTTATCAGTTGACCGACCATGCCACTACAATTTAAAAAGTTTGTTGATAGATGAAAATGAAAATCATCTTTTTGATGAAAAAAAATTGAATTGAAATGGAATTTCTTCATCAAAATTATGAAGTTAATTATTTTAACATAAAAACAAATTGAATAATTCCCAAAGATTAAAAGAAAATTATTATCTACTACAGGAATAATAAAAAAAATGTATTTATAATGGGTCCTATCAATGATTTCTATAGAAATCATCGGTCTTATGAAATGGTTCTCAAACAGACATGCATGATATAGATCTAAACATTTTTTTCTTTTCAGGAAGGAGTTATCACAATTATTTATTTTTGATAAAAAATTATAAAATTCAACACTCAAATTTGAATAAAAAATGTTTTTGGGTTGTTCTAAAAAATGAATAAGGTTTTTGAATCAAGATGGGAACAAATTCTTTGACCTAAACGAAAGCCCCCCCCCTCTTTTTTTAGCCACACAAACCCAAAAGATGAATTGTGGGGTCCAAAAGAGATACAAGACACCTATTTTAGTAAAGCAAATTTGACTGGCAGTTTTGCGAACGGCAAAAATCTAAATGCTGTTTGTCAATACCTTCGACTTATATTCCAAGTGAAAACAATTACTTAAATGTTTAATAAAAATAAATCAAAATTAAACTACATGGGGGATTATTCAGGGTATTCCAACTTAGTTGCACCAAAAGGGTATCTTACTATACCAAATTAATCCTTGATTCTTCAAAGTTTAGTTTAGCCATAATAAAAAGGAGTATATAACAGCAATAGAATGTCATAAACAGTGCAGAATAAGTCTGTTCACATTTCAGGCGAAATTTATACTGTTGAGATAGTGTCGAGACATATTTAAGACTGTCAAGAATGTGTCGAGACATATTCAGACATTATTAAGTATGTCAAGAATATGTCGAGACATATTCAGACATTATTAAGAATGTCAAGAATATGTCAAGACAGATCGAGACAAATTTAAGACAGTCAAGAATTGGTCGAGACTAATCCAGACTCTTATCAGATGATACAGGAAGTGTCGAGAAATTTTAAGACAATGTTCATACTGTCAAGACACTTGTCAAGAAAAATCAAGAACCTTATTAGACAAATTCATACTATGTCAAGAATTTTTAAAAATTATTCAGACAAATTAAGAATGTCGAGTAAAAATTCATGCAAATTCAGACAAAAACTGGTCTTTTCAGACTTTTTGACTTTTGTAGTGAAGACTACATCGCAGTATATGTTATTTTTTCATGACAATAATGATCGTTGATTAATACAGAAAATGTGTTTTGTTATTCGTGTTAATTTTTATGACCTCTGAAATGTATTCTTTAAATATTGACCCCTGTAACTACGGACCAAATTTGAATAAACTAATAATGTCTGATCCCTATTGGGTCGGCAAAAAGACTATGAATTATATTCTGGTTTATCTACAATCATGGCCACAATGACTAGAGACATAACATAAGGGTAAAATGCCTTATAATTGAAAACTATAGTTGAATTCTGACTTGGATAAAGTGCACAGAAAAGATTGAACACAAGCATTGTCAGATGATTGATTATTCCTTTTTGGAGTTGTTGTCCATTAATTTAATCGTTTTCGGATATTGACTTGACACTCTTGATACAACACTCTTAAACAAGTAAGTTCTTTAATTTTGTAACGACGGCTTATTCGAGCGTCACTGATGAAAATTTTATAGACGAAACGCGCGTCTGGCGTACAAAATTTTAAGCTTGGTATCTATGATGAGTTGATTTAGTAGAGGGTTTTAAACAACTTTGATTGTTTTTCTCATTCCGATTTTTAGGGACAAAGATATTCTTTTCTAGAATTATTTATGGCATAAAGAGTAAAAATAAATACCAAAGTTACATTTTTTATCAGGTAGACGACTTGAGACTCTATTACGTCTCAAGTTGTTATGTCCCTGTATACTAAGTGGAATCATTAGTACCTCGACAAATTCCTGTATTTGAGCAGTTTATGATATTTGTAACCCTTATGTAGATGTTTTCGATAAACAATATTACGTTCATAGAAATCTAAGACATCACTACGAACACGTTCACATCGAATCAACAGGGAAATGAAGAAGCAAACGGTACATCGCCATCAAGTTAAGAAAGAATTGAAATGACGCTTCAGTATAGTAAACGTACGTAGACATTCACAAGGTTTTAATTTGAACCTTACAATCATTGCATAAACTAAATATTAATTGATGAAATCAACTCAGTGATTACTATTGTAAAGTTAAAATGTGGAGTTGTATTTAGTTAACAAACGTTTTGTTATTCATTGGATATATTCTATTTCTTATGATTAATGTAATCATTTCAGAACAACTAACCGATTACTTTGTGACCTTCGTCTGTGTTTTTGTTTTTGTTTCTTTCTCGAACACAATCGGAGGCATCTCTAGACACACTATGGATTGAGATTCACCCTAGTTAATTCAAATTCAAAATTGACAATACTTTCAGATACACTTCACATTTATCTCAATATATTTTCTTGACAATAAAAATTATCTATTTTTATAACGCGGATACACAATGCAAATTATTGCCTAAATCTGAAGGCCATTCATTAAAATTTCACTGCAAATCGTAAAATCTCATTCTTTATAGAAATGATAAAACATTATAAAGCATTCAAAATGATAGAAAATAACAAACGGAACCCAGAAATGCTTAAATTTCAGCCAAATATTACTGTCAAAAAACGGTTGATTGATGAAACCATCGTAAGGTACAGAAATAAATGTATACGAAAACCAAGTGTTGAAATTTACAAAACACATCACAAGAAAGATGTTTCGGATTGATAAAACAGAATTGGAACTGCTAAACTTTCGGTATTGCTTCATCTGTAGAATAAAAGTTGTCTGTAAAATCGTGAAGGTAACTCTAACAACTGTATTAAGATGGATTCTGATGTCGTGAAATTGTGTACGATAACGACTGCCGAGACTTTCCAGAATGTAGTAACCACAAGTAGCAAGAGATGTTGAAAGGAATATAAAATGTTGAATGTTGATTATTTTCCGAGGCCTTTCCTTTGGTTGTAGTTCTCCAGCTAATGCATGATAACACTTGATTATGAGTGGTATTCGCAAAATGTTTCCGAAAAGATAGTATGCATTCGGACCACCAGCTTGGTTATACTTTGGTATGTACATTAAAATGCACTGGATCATGATGAAGGATAAACAAAACAATATACCAAGTCCGAATATGCACTTCGACTTCCTATTCATTGGCGTATGCCTGTTACGAACTGTTATATGTCCCGATAAAAGTGGGTAATTTTCTCCATTTTCCTGAGAAAAGGAAGTCGAATCTAATAAACCCATTGTGTCAAGTGGCACATTCTGCTTTGGCCACATTTGCGAAATGAATATCAAACTTAACAGACAATATTCAAGCAACACTGGATCAAGAAATGGTTTTAGTATCCTTTCTGCTTTGTACAGAGTTGTGGCGTTATTGCATAGGTGTCCAGAGTTATTCAAAATGTCATTTTTGTCTTCAAAGTACAAGTCTACATTTTTACGTGTCCACAAAGAAATATTTGCAACAAACAAAAACATCAGTATATAATAGAAACACTTAATATTTGCAAATCTGAATCGTGAAAAATAAACAATGAGTATGGTTTGTCCTAGATCGAAAAGCCAAGTGATTATATAGTACACTGCTTTCTGTGATAGGGACTCACGTACATTACATTGGATATGGAGAGCTAATTTCATAGCCTGTGATACTATATTTCCGAAGCAAAAGAGCCACAGAAACGCTAATTTTAGTCTGTGTGTAACTTTTCGTCTATGAAAAACCTTCCAATCGTTTTTTATGTGAACTAGAAAGCTACAAGCGGTCAAGATACATATGGCAAAAGCTAGTAATCCAACCATTAACCATCTAGAACCGTTGGTTGGTAATATCAACATCACTTCAAGAACCGCTATAACTAGAGTTGTTAATAGGACAAGTCCGGATATACTTGCATCATGAACCGAAAATCCGCCATTTTCGCGCTTTGTCACTAGTCCTGCTGTAAAAGGCATTACCAATGCAGCATGTAAAACCCTACGTAGCATATCTGGTATCTTGATGTATCTGTAGAAAATCAATTATTCGATTAAATACATTTGCTTCTTGAACTTAAAGGAAAATCCTCGAGACATATTGAATAAATTGTTTGTATTTTTCACATGTTTTTGTGCAAATTTACATTACATATGGTTTAGCAGTAGACTGAAATTTACCTCGCTGGATTTTTAATTTATAAAAGCTTTCATGCGGTTAAATGTGACTCTGTTAATCAAAACTGAGAATAATTAAGGTCTCCAGAAAAAGGTTAATATATATGTGGCTATGAATAAATACTTCGTGTTTCGGAAAATATGGCATTTAAAAAACAACATAAACAAGTATATTGACAGAAAGTATTTGTTTTCATTTCCTTATTTTTCAACAGCATATTGTTTTTTTTTTTTTTTATTCTCATTTTCTTTTATATTGAAACTGTATTTTTAATGTTGTATTTCGAACTGATATTAAACAATAAGTTCAAATGAATTATTTCCTCGTCATGTTTCTCATACAGCCTACTTTTAATGCTAAGGGTAGGAGTTAACCGTTTGTATAAAGGCTCTAAAGTTTTCTATTATAGGATTCTGGTTGCATATTTAAACTCAAAGGAGTCTTTACAAAATAATGATTATAAAGTTAACCAGCAAATACGCGAAGGATTCGCTTCAAAGTTATTTTCAAAATTTTTATTAAATCAAAAAACTTTTTTTAAAAAAAACGATTACTTTCTGCTCTAACAAAGAAACTAAATGAAAATTAAAAGATAGTTAGGAAAAATGGTACTTTTATTGATGGGAATTGGTTGATTAAAATAAGTTAAGAACTTATAGATAATTTCGTGAAAAGTACGAACTTGAAAAATATCTTTCATTGAATTTAGATAAGAAATTATATATAAAAAAAAACTATACCTTATATATAAATAAGTAGCAGCAAGTTAGCTATTAAACGTCGTAGTAGTAGATATAATAAAACAGCTTTAGAAAATAGAGTGTGCCCATATGTAATATAGAGGTGGCAGATGAATTGCAATTTGTAATAATGTGTGCACAACTCAATAACTCTGGAGTGAAATTTCTGATATTGTTACTAGTTAATGGCAAAAGTGAAATTTATAGTTACAGAAACACCATTAATAGATGTTCATGAATTGTGTTTTTTACATGTATGATTTTTTATGGATACCTTTTTTCTTTCGAAAAATATAACATCTGAAAGAATATATGATAAAGGTAAGAATCATTTCATGTTTTTACATTACAGTTCGAAATGTAATAATTGTTATGTTAATTTGAGATGATGCATATTGTTTAGCAATTAAGAAAACAAAAACAAAAAACAAACAAACAAACTTAGATTTATTTTGGTCAATGTTGCACATTTGTATTGTGTATAACTGTTCATTTGTGTTACATGTGTATCTAGTAAGAATCTTATTGTTGGGATTCAATACTAATAAATAGCTTATATCGTATATACAGCAGGTACATCATATTCAAATTTTAAGTCTTCCGATCGATTGTTTCCAAATTTATCCTATTTTTATCCCGTCATACTTTGAACGACAAAATTATTTTATTTTATTAATATTACTTTTACTGTTAAGTCTGTTTTTTTGTGATATTCATTTGACATGACTCTGTACTTATGTATCCCGTTATACTTTGAACGACAAAATTATTTTAAATCAACCTGTGTGACATCAAACGCGCGATTCTACGCCAGTACTTTTAACCTTCCATTCTTTATAGGTGGATTTTACGTTGATAAATAAAATCATATAATAAAAAAGCAAAATGAGGATGTTAAATTTGATTTTATGCCTTTCTGTGCTTCTTTGTTACATTTGTTTGTTTTATAGTGATTAAGATGATAACACAATGTTGACTGCTGTACCCCTATTTTTGACATTTTAACCTATTGTGTCTGTTTGTTTTGTTCACGCATCGTTGTCAATATAATGGAATTTGATGCGACTGTCATACAAATGAGAGGTTAAGCTAGCTATAAAACCAGGTTCAATCCACCATTTTCTACATAAGAAAATGCCTGTACCAAGTCAGGAATATGACAGTTGTTATCCATTCGTTTGATGTGTTTGAGCTTTTGATTTTGCCATTTGATTAGGGACTTTCCTCTTTGAATTTTCCTCGGAGTTCAGTATTTTTGTGATTTTACTTTTTACTCATACTGATTATTATACAATCTTACTGTACATGTATTAGATACAATACAAAGGTAACAAAGAAACAGGCCGGTAACAAGCGTTGCCGGATAGTTTTTCTGCACGAGTAGTCAGGTGAAGGTCCGAGGCGATAGCCGAGGACCTTGACCTGACTACAAGTGCAGAAAAACTATACGGCAGTTTGTTTCCGGCCTGTTTTTTGTTACCTTTGTTTTGTATCTGACTTGTACGACGTTTCAAGAAAGAAGTAGTACATTTTGCATTTAGAAGAGGTAGCAAAATTAAACAGATTAGAAACTTAAATGACCATATACAAGTTAATGTAAGTTACAGTTAAAACAAACTTTTTTTCACTTTCCACCAGCCGAGAGTTTTGCTCTTACTGCTTTAGTTTTTGAGATGAAAGCCAAAAACTTCATTTGACCCATATGTTCTATTTTTAGAAATTGCCGCCATGTTTTAATGGATCAAATCCCCGAATACAATCTATAAACTAGATACCCTAAGGAACATTCAATTAAAGTTTTTAGTATTTGGCCAAATAGTTTCAGAGAAGAAGATTTTTGAAAAAGTAATTAGAAATGTTAAAATAATGTTTTATGGGCAATAACTCCTCAAGGGCAATTGACTATTTTGATCATGTTGACTTATTTGTAGATCTTACTTAGCTGAACATTTATTGCCATTCATACTTTCTCTCGAACTATTATAATATTAAAGAAAATAACCAAAAACAGTAAAATTCAATAAAAATAAACTATTTCCAACAGTAACCCAATAATGGGTTGTCGAACTTCTCTTGAAATTTCATAACAGATAGATCCTGACCCATTTATCACTTTAACTCCCTTTTCACTTTTGTTCTAACTGCTGTAGTTTTTGAGATATAAGTCAAAAACTGCTTTTGTCCCCAATGTTCTTTTTTTAGCCATGGTGGCCATGTTTGTTTATCCATAAATTATTAATGGATCAAAACTTCGGATACAATTTATAAATCAGTTATCCTAAGGAACATTCAGTTAAAGTTTAGAAGTATAAGTCCCAGTAGTTTCAAAGGAGAAGATTTTTAAATGTTAGCAAACATGATGAACTAATTGTCTTTAAAGGGCAGTAACTCCTTAATGGGTCAATTGACAATTTCGATCATATTAACTTTTTTGTAGATCTTACTTTGTTGAATATTTTTGCTGTTTACAGTTTATCTTCAATAATATTCAAGACAATAACAAAACACTGCAAAATTTCCTTAAAATTACCAATTACTATAGTGGCAGCAACACAACAATGGGTTGTTTGATTCGTCTGAAAATTTTAAGGATGATAGATCTTGACCTATGTAACATTTTTACCCCCATGTCAGATTTGCTCTAAATGCTTGAGTTTTTGAGATATAAGCCAAAAACTGCATTTGACCCCTATGTTCTATTTTTAGCCTTGTCGGCCATGTTTGTTGATGGATCAAAACTTCGGATACAATTTATAAACTAGATACCCTAAGGAACATTCAGTTAAAGTTTGAAGGTATTTGGCCTAGTAGTTTCAGAGGAGAAGATACTTGAAATAGTTTACGACGACGACGACAGACGACGGACGACGACGGACGCCAAGTGATGGCATAAGCTCACATGGGGCCCTTCAGTCCCGGTGAGCTAAAAAGGTTTTTGTTAACAATTTTTGAGTAAAAAACGAAAATAAAAGTATCGTTAACCGCACCCAAACTCCGTCTTCTTATTTCATACTATTATAGATCACCCATTTCAAATTGGTAAAAATTTCAAAGAAGCAGATCTCATTTAACTGGTACATTTACGTAATGCCTGAGTTTGAATGTAATCTTATGAATTTTTAGTTGTAAAAGAAGCAAAATTATATATTTCACAACCATAAACTTTTCATCTAATTAAAAACAAATATTTTTTTTCTAAGTGTACGGCTGGCTGTGGCCTATCTAGTTCGTTTAAGTAATTTCATACAATTTGTAAGTTTGCATGCACTTAGTTTGTAAATTTTGGAAATATATATGCTTTTGCAAAGTTAAATTCCTGTCAAATATTTTGTGACATGACAAAAAACTGACCCAATAACATGTTGGTCGACTTTAAGGCTTACGAGTAGAATAGATGCACAGTTGAAAAAACAATTCGAAATAATTCTTAGTGAAAATCAACCTGACCTGTGTAAATAGGTATTGAACTTGACAAATAATGAACATTTTGAAAATATTGGCATAGATATTTTAGACTCTGAAACTACTGAAGATGAAATTGTGAAATCGATATCAAAATTAGGCAAAAGTAATGACATAATTATCAGCGAAAATATTTCTGCAAGTCCATTATTTTATGCTCCAGTTTTAAAGAAACTATTCAACTATACACTTTGACACATTCCCCATTTCCATTCTCAATTTTATTTTTTACAGAGTTTGTCTTTAGTGCCGTGTGAAGACAGTAGAGTGCCTCCCCGTGCTTCAGGTTTATGCTCTTATAATATACTAGATTATGGAGTGCGTGTCCGAGCGAGAACTTCTCTATGTTCATTACTTTAGAAATATTTATCAAAAAGTAGTATTTCAACATTCAGCCCCATTCTTCTATTTAGTCAGACGTCAGTCGCTACCCTGATATACCCTATATTTTGTTTTATTTTTCGGGTAATTTATGACGGATAGCGTTTGACGTCTTTAGCCGAACAGTTTTATCATATTCAC